TCCCAATACCTTTTTTTTTTTTTAATTTGTCTCCCTTTCCTTCTTCCCATACTTCCCGCGGGGCGGGTCAAGTCGAAGTGGGCGGCTCGCGCAGCCTGATAGAGCGCGGCCGCTGGGGCTCCCCCGGCGGAGCGTATGTATGCATGTATGTACATACATACCTACACATGCCTTCCGCTTCCATCAGTACGTCAGTCCGCTCCAGCCGGGGCTCAGGACGTCATAGGTGTCGTGTCCGGCGGCAGCACAGCCTTATGGGAACCCCCCCACACACACACACACTGTATCCGTAGCAGCAACCATGATTGAGTTGCAAAGGGGAAAAGGACATCCGCACCTCCGCATTAGTCGGCGCAATGCGCGTGCTTGTTTCCACCCCATCCACCATCCTCGCCCCTCCTCCTTTTTTTTTCTGGGTCGAGGCCGGCTGCCGTCGTTCTGCTCTCCGTACCGACCCCAGCTGTGCAAGGCGGCAGAGTAGCAGTTGCTCCGCGGGCAATATGGGAAGGCTCCTATCCGGCCATCTGCTTCAGCTGCCCATGAAGAAGTATAGTCAAGTTTGCTTTCACATCCGGTCACTGGCTTCAGCTGCACGTGAAACAAAAAAAGACAAGTCACAGCAGTGAAGACAAAGTAGGAGGGGAGTCTGTTCAATTTAGGAAGCTAGCTATAGGGGTCATACAATTTGGGGTAGTACAAGACATTGGTTGAATCGAGGGCCAGTTCCGTTCCAACCACTTCATGAAGCTCGAAGCCTAGAGCCACATGATCAAAAAACCTGTCATGCAGGCCACAACCATGGCCCACCAGGCAGAACCTGATTCAACCTTCCTCGCTCCAGAGAATAGAGCATCGCGCATTTCTTGCGCTCGAACCCAGACCGATGCACAGACTTGAAGACAGTCCAATTCAGAGCATCCACATTCACGTCTTTCATACCAACCGAGTCCAAACACATTGTTGAACCAATCAAAAGGCGCAAACCCCGTGACCCAAGGGTGGAATTCGTAGTCATTGGGGGGACCGGTCATAACGTCACCGATGCCGTAGGGAGTGCCGTCGAACGGGAACTGTCCCGGGGTGGTGTAAGGTTCGGTGGTCATCGAAGGGACAGGCGCAGTGGCCATCGAAGGGACAGGCGCAGTGGTCATCGGAGGGACAGGCGCAGACGTCATCGAAGGGACAGGCGCAGACGTCATCGAGGGGGCGGTCGTAACGGTCGTAACGGTGGTAGAAGTGTTGCCCGGAATGAAGAATGCCTCGGTCGTGGTAACAGTTGTGGAAGCAGGCACAAGGAAGGGCGTGATGGTCGCCGGGCTTTTTGAGGGTTGTCAGCATGCTGTGGAAGAGTGGGAAGTGGAAGGTGATCAACTTACGTCGTCATGTTGAAGGCCAATCTCGCAGAAGCTTGATCGGCGAAGACACCAACGAGGAGCATGGCAGAGAGGATGGGCTTGATGGCCGCCGGACTTTTTGAGGGTTGTCAGCATGCTGTGGAAGAGTGGGAAGTGGAAGGTGATCAACTTACGTCGTCATGTTGAACGTCAATCTCGCAAAAGCCTGATTGGCGAAGACACCAACGAGGAGCATGGCAGAGAGGATGGGCTTGATGGCCGCCAGACTTTTTGAGGGTTGTCAGCATGCTGTGGAAGAGTGGGAAGTGGAAGGTGATCAACTTACGTCGTCATGTTGAACACTGACTTCAAAGAAGCCGAATTGGTGAGGACACCAACGACGAGAAGGACGAAGAAGGACATGGTGACGAGAATTGAGAAGTAGTCGAAATTGGATCGGGTGGTTGAAGCAACGTCAATGCTGATTGCTGAGTGCTGATTGCTGAATGGCAATGGGGATCGATGGATGAACAAAACGTAACAAAGTTGTCGGGCTGTGATAATTCCAAGAACAATGTTGGTGAGAAAAGGTTGCGAGGTGGCGGGCGGCGCGATTATATACGTAGCGGTCCAGCTCAACGGAAACTGCGAGGAGTTCCAGCGTACCTGCGCTGTATGTGCGCGCTGGAGGGGGCGACGGCGGTTGCTGCTCTCTCATGGGGAAGTGGCGGCAGTTGCTGCCCTCTCGTGGGGAAGTGACGCCGCCGCGGGCCGCAACGTCACTGCTACATACAGCAGCGGCCCAGCATCTTCGGCCGGCCCACCGCCATTCGCCGACTTTCTGAGCGCGCTACGCAAGGCGTGCCTTCGCGCGCAGAGTTACCGACGCGGCGTGACCGCGCTGCGGCGAGCGCGGCCGCCGTACATGGAAGCGGCACTCATGACCGTGACGCCGGCGTGCCACCTCTGCCGCGCCCGGTCGCTGCGAGTGAGTTGTCTCTGCCATAAGCACCTTCTCTCCAAGAACATCAGGGACTTGAAGCGGACAGAACATGCCGACGATGCAGTGAGGAGCGTTTTCGCCCATGTGCGCTTTCCTGAGCTTCAAGCTTACCGGGAGCAGGGGCTGCTTTCGGGACCATCTCTGCACTGAGCAAGCCATTGCGAGTGATATCCATGTGGGCTGCATGTGGCTGTATTGTAGCGCGACCGGCCGCTGATGGGTGCACCGGTCAGTAAGGGTTTGGCGTGCGTGCATGTCAGCGCGCCGTCCTTGGTATTGACTTCCGGGCGATGTCTTGAGCAATACTTCCATAGCCGCATGGATGGCTCCTTAGGTGCCTGGAGGGCAGTGCTATCTTATTCTCCAGCTGGGTAAAGATGGATGCGCTGACGTTTGCTGATAGAATTCCCTTTCCACACGCCCGGAGGTAGTAATTTGTCAATGTGATACAACCAGTTTCGGATTCCCTGAATACTTCACCACCGCGACCGAAAAGAGATTTCGCCAGCATGGCAAGGAAGAGAGCCAGTTTTGGTGAGAGCGGAATGACGGGGAGTGATCGTGCGCGTGGCAATATACAATGGTCTTCATATCCAGTAACGCCTCGCGATCGGCCTTGGATCAGACAGCTTGGAAGGTTCCCTGTCTGAGTCTAGCCGTTCTGCTGCAGCCGAGGCAGAACACCAGCTGGGGACATCAGAACTAAAAGGTTGTGTCGTTGAGATGAGTGAGCCTCGTTCTACTGGGTAGGTTATGGTGGAGGTGTAGGGCTTGGCGGGCTGCAGGGTGATGGTACCTTGCGGCAACGACTTCGGCGATGCGCGCACTAGGTGTTGGGCAGGGCATCGGGCTAACAACGGGAAACAGTAAACAACTGCTACCGACATCACAACATGGATCCACTACAAGTTTCTGAGCAGGCCAAAGGTACCCGGATCCCCGTGCACTCGCTTGAGACAAGCAACACTAATGCCTGTCTAGCTTCCTTGCATCCTGTCGCTTCTCCCGATGGCGCGTTTGTAGCCGCCGTGGCTGGCAACCGTTTACAAATCCGCGCAGCCTCGTCGCTTTCCATTGTCCGCAGCATACCTTTGTCCACTGAATACTCTGCCAGGAACCCGCCTGTCATACGCTGGTCGCAAGCCACCAGCCGTCACGGTCTTCATTTTCTATTCGCCGACGAGCGCACCGTTCGCGTCTGGGACATTACCGACTCTCGCTGGAAAGCCGTCATTGACAATGGCAGCGGTGGCATGGGGAAGATATCGAACGTGGAGTTTGGCTCCTCACAGAACGAGGTTCTTGTTTTTTCCGACTTCGGGGCTCGGGTCACCGTGTGGTGCCTAAAGACTGGCCGTAGTGTGGAGATTAGAGATCCCAAATACTACAGAGACTCGAGGGGATATGGATACCGACCCCACGACCAGGTCTTTGCCCTCCTCTCCAGGGTTGGGCCACAGGACACACTGACCCTACATGCACCCGGCACGTACTTCCTGCTCAAGACCGTCACACTGCCAAGCAGCGACGCTCAAGGCCTTCAATGGAGTCCCGACGGGAAATGGCTGGTCATTTGGGACACTGCAAGCGTAGGGTTCAAGCTGTTTGTGTATACAGCGGATGGCCACCTCTACAGGACATACAGCGGAGATGAGGACGAGGAAATCCGTGGACTGGGCATCAAAAGCATTGAGTGGAGTCCAAGAGGAGACTATCTCGCAGTTGGCGGTTACAGTCAACGGGTGACACTGCTCAGCATACGAACAGTAGGTCGCAGAAAACATGTCCATCGCCCAGCTGAACTGAACTGACTTGATTACAAGTTCTCTCCGGCCGTGTTCCTAGACCACACGTCTGCCGTCCAGCTCTCGGCAGGCGAGGTTTGGCAGGAGCAGGTGTCCCCGATGCGCGAGTATACGTTGGTACCTCAGCCAGTCTCGCCGCCCGTTGCACAGGCCACCGCGGCGGAGACAGTTCCTAAGATGGGCATATCTACACTTGCCTTCAACATCAGCGGGGACCTCATCGCCACCAGGGACGACTCTATGCCAACATGTGTATGGCTATGGGACTTGACGAGGCTTGTGGCGCGGACAGTTCTCATACAGCATGCGCCTGTCAAGAGTCTCTACTGGCATACCAGCATTCCAACTCTGCTTCTTATTCAATGCGTGCAAGATGATGCAATCATCTACCTGTGGGATCTGGGGAGGGAAGGCGCAAGAGTAGTCAATGTGCCGTTTGAGAAGCCGACCGGCAAGTTGGAGGCCCAGTGGCTGCGTTATGGCGCAGAAAGGCGCCCGTCCTTGGTTCTTGGCAACTCCCATGGCTTTGTGACGGTGTGGCCGGACGGCAAAGACGCCATGCTGAAATTCAAGCACTCTAGCAGCCGTCCTGGCACGCCTGGCAGCACGGATGAGGGCGAAGACTCGCTATATAACATATTGACGGGCCGCACGCCAGTGCCTGCGCTGAAAGACTCAGGGTCTCTTGAAGATCATGAGAACTCTGCCGAGAGTACAGTGCTGGAGGACACCTTCCTCGGAAAGAGGCACCTAAGGGACCCGCTGCAAGATTCCGAGTGCTTCTGAGGGCGGAACGGGCGAGACTCGGTTTGGCGTCACACACAGATGAGCGGGATCGATGGGCATACCTCTGGCAGACAGCTGGGAGGGCGCACACGGACGTATGGGTTCTTGGTGTTGGTGGCGTACTGCAGGGATGTTGCGGTCAGGCAGCACAAGACAGAGCGATTTGCGCGCGAAGCACGGGCGGTGATTTGTCAGTGCGAAGGCCACAACTGCTGCCGCGATGGCCCACAGGCCGAGGGCGACGGACGCCGGGCGAACTATGTAGTCGGGTAGAGCGGGACCTACCAGGCGGCGATGCTGCTGGCAGAGGCAGAGGGAAGGCGCGTGCTGCGGCACGCCGCCGGCGTTGTGTGGACGGGCCTCGAAGTTGAGCTGCCCCACCTGTTGGTGGTCACTCGGCCGCGAGGCTGGCGGCCAGCAAACACGGTGCTGCCGCAAAGCAGGTGCGATGGAGGCCGCGGGCAGGCTGCGGACTGCAAATGGAGCAGCAGAGCCCAATGCAACGCAATGGACGCGCACCGCTGCGGCAGGCCCGCGGGCGGCGGCGCCAAGCATGTGAGAGCGATCACCGCCTGCCATCGAGCGTGCGCGCGCCGTGGCTCAGCGCGCTGACACCGCCGCATCGCTCACCTCTGCGCAAAGGATTCAAGAGGGCAGCCTTGCTCCCGTCTCTTTGCACCACCACCCCTCGCTGCTCCCGCCTGCTGCTCCGCTGTCCTGCCGCCCTGCTGCTCACCTGCCACCGCAGGCCGCTTTATTGCTCCAGACAAAGCATCGCAGTGTGCCACCCGGCCCGCTCTTGGCCGCGCCCTCGCAGCCAGCCTGGCCAGTCCCGTATTGCCGCCGGCGAACCCATGTCCCAAGGCTGACTTCCGCTAACTGTGCACATCACTCAGCCGCAGCAGCAGCAGCCAGCACCACCTCTGCCTGCCAGCTTACACCCGCCTCAGCGCCCGCCCCTCGCTCACTTTTCTTTCCCTCCTCGCCCACTCTCCCTCCCGCCCGACCCCCTCCTCTTCCTTCATGTCGTCCATGAACGCTCGCTTCAAAAATCTCGTAAGCGGCTCGAGACGGCGATCTTCCAACAACGTTGCGGCCCAAAACACCACGCCGACCCCGCCCCCGGGCAGCACCAGCTCGCTATCTCCGCCATCCAACGCCAGCTCGTCCAACACCTCGCTCCCGATGAATCCCAACAATCCGCTGGGCCGCCCGCCCTCGTACACCTACGCGCCGCCCGGTCAGCACTTGGCTGCCGGCACCCACCCGCCGCGCACCTCGAGTCCGATGCCGCCCCCACCCATCAACACCGCCCAAGGCCATTACCCGCCCCAGGGCCAGATGTATGGCCAGCCGCCGCCTGCCGGGCCGCCGGGATACCCTCCGCAGGCCCAGCAGCCAAGCTACGGTGGATACGGGAACCCGCCGCCGGCAGGCCCACAGGCGTACGCCCGTCCGCAGGCCGTAGAGGTTGAGGGTGCGGGACGGAGCAAGGCCCAGTTGATCGTCGGCATTGATTTTGTAAGTTGGCTTAAGGCTTGCCCGCCGCGGGACTGTACGGCTGACACGGCACGCTCGCAGGGCACTACGTTTTCTGGCGTCGCCTTCGCTTTCGCTACCAACACCGAGGCAAAGGAAGACATCATCACTGAATGGCCCGGCGCAGGAAACCAGACAAAGCAAAAGGTGGGTCAGGCTGCGCTCCAAACACTTGCCCGATACTGATCACTCGCCAGATTCCCACCGTGCTCTATTATGACCAGTATCAGAAGGTCGTAGGGTGGGGGCCAGACATTGCCGACGCTTTGGCCCCCACTGGCTACCCTAAGCCCGGTGTGCAGAAGGTGGAGTGGTTCAAGCTTCAGCTGATGCTCTCGGGCAACACCTACATTGATCCAATCAATTTGCCGCCGCTTCCGCCTGGAAAGTCTGAGATCGATGTTGCGGCCGACTACCTTTTCCACCTGCGCCAGGCGATGCGCAACCAGCTGCAAAAGACGCTCGGCGAAGTCTTCAATCGCGAGGAGCGCAACATCCGCTACTACCTCACTGTGCCTGCCATCTGGAATGATGCCGGCAAAGCTGCGACGAGGGCAGCCGCGATTCAGGCCGGCTTCCTCCGGGATGAGAACGACAACAGGCTGACGCTCATCACTGAACCTGAGGCGGCAGCAATGTTCTGCTCCAAAACCGGTTTGTTGAACCTCAAGGTGCATGACGCAGTCTTGATTGTCGACTGCGGTGGCGGTACTGTCGATTTGATCGCCTACGAGGTTGAGGAGGAGCAGCCTTTCTCTGTCGCGGAGTGCACGGCAGGCTCGGGCGACTCTTGCGGCTCCACGGCGCTAAACCGGAACTTCAGCAACATTCTTCGCGCCAAGATTAGGAAGATGAAGCTTCCCGATGGCTCCAAAACAGCAGGCAAGGTGTACGCCAAATGCATCATGGACTTCGAGAACAGAATCAAGGCAGATTTCAGAAACAACGGTCAAAAATGGGCTGTTGATGTCGGTATCGAGGCCGAGTTCCCCGAGGCTGGTATTGAGGAGGGCTACATGACATTCACGAACGAGGAGATTCTGCAGTGCTTCGAGCCTGTGGTAAACAGAATTCTGGAGCTGGTGCGGAACCAGATCATCGCGATCCAGGCGCAAAACAGGAACCTTCAGGTATGCTTCTGGGTATGTCCAATCTTGTGCATGCAGATATACTGACAAGACTCACAGAACGTGCTCGTCGTCGGCGGTTTTGGTGCATCGGAGTATCTTTTCCAGCAGATCAAGCTCCACGTACCTCCACAGTTCCAATCCAAGGTCGTGCGTCCTATGGACTCGGTGGCTGCCATCGTCAAAGGTGCAGTCACCGCTGGTATCACCGAGCGCATCATCACGCACCGTGTCGCTCGAAGACACTACCTCATGGCAACCCTACAGCCGTTCAAAGAGGGTCACCATCCAGAGCAGTACCGTGTTCCTTCGCTCGATGGCAAGGATCGTTGCAAATTTACTCGCCAAATATTCGTCCAGAAAGGCCAGCGAGTTAAGATCGGCGAACCCGTCAAGGTTTCTTTCTTCCGGCAGGTGGCTCCTGGCGCAACCTTGATGTACGAGGATATTCTTTACGCTTGCGACGACGACGTCTGCCCGGAGTACACCAAAGATCCCCGTAAGTCCCACCCGAGGAGTGTTGGCTCTCCGTTTCCGCATGAAAACAGGAATGTTAGTGGAGTGGCGAATTAACCCGTATGGTGAACAGGCATCAAGGAAGTCGTCACGCTTACCTCGGATCTGTCACGCAAGAATCTGGAAAAGGACTTCGAGCGGATGGACACGCCACAAGGCACATTCTACCGCGTGTACTTCGATATCTATCTCACGCTGGATGGCAGTGAGTTCAATGCTGAACTGGTCTGCCAGGGTGAGGTCATGGGCAGATGCACTGCGAAGTTCAGATGAGGTAGCAAAATTCATTCGGGCGTTCTGGGAGAGGAGGAAGAAGCGCACAGGAAACGGAGAAATGCGATCGGCTCCATGACCAAAAGACATAGGGATGAATCTGGAGTTGGGTCAAGAAGCCCAATTCTTTAATCGGTTGTCCTATTGTTCTATGTTTTCATGTTTGTTTGTTTGTTTGTTTTTTTCCCTCTACATACCCCCAAGCTCTTTACTATTAAACGTTCGGTGGCATCGCCTCCTTTCATTTCCCGGATGTTCGTATTGAATTGCCGTCTGACCAATTGACCCTATCAGAGACGGTTGCTCTCTATGCGTAGAGGTTTGAATCTAGGGATAAAAGCGGGCATGGTAAGAGCATCTGCGTTCAACGCAAGAAATGGTGGCCCGATGCAATGGACCTTGCAACCCTTGACCCTCATGAGTGATGTTGATCTCACTTTTGAAGTACAGAGGACACGGGAGTTTGTACAGTAGATTTAGCTGTGAAGCCTTCCCAGCGGGCGAGTGTGTCAATCTGTGCACAATGGCGTGGAAATTTACCGCGCGGTTCATGGAATCGGCGATACGGCTGTATTGAATTTACAAGCTATGCCAGGTCACCACACGGTCAAAGTTCGCTCGTCATGCGGGGAAACTGTCTTGTAACACTTTGCACACGGACCAAGACCTTTCCTCCGAACCTTTGATTTAGAGGGTGTAGTTTCAACCTTTTACCGTCCCACAACCCTACTCGGTCATTCCTCCACAACATCCCGACCAACCCTAGCGGTGCTATTTCGACCCCTCTCACCGCTGCACCGTCGACACACCGAGAATGAGCGGCTTTTCGGAGCGCGAGGTGCAGCTCATGGCTTGCGCCTTCCAAGCCATGAAGACACCGCCTGAAGTCCGTCACCCCCGCGTGCGCTCCTCAACACACGAACATGCTCGCGCTGCACCTCACCTTCCTTTTCCTTTTGTTGTCCGATTCCCCTCACTGCCTCACGCTTTGGCTATGGCCGTCAAGCATGATGCTAACGTTTGGCCCATGCTTTCACAGATCGACTACCAACTCATGGCACGCCTAGCCGGCATGTCGCACCCGGGCTCCGCCAGCAACGCCATGCGCGCCATCCGGCGCAAGCTCGATGCCCGCGTCCCTGGTACCGGTAACGCTGCAGTCAACGGCTCGCCCGGCACCCCGGCCAAGAAGACCCCTCGCACCGGCGGCACCGGAAAGAAGCGCTCTGCCAAGACGATGATGTCGACTTCGACGGGGATGGGCAGTTTCTCTGATGACGACGAAGAGGCCGGTGCCGACGCTGTGGCTGAGAGCCTGTCCAAGAAGAAGATCAAGGGCAAGGCTCGTGCTAATAGCAGCGAAGATGGCACCGCCACGGTGAAGGTGAAGAAGGAGACGCGATACGAGGAGGATGAGGCGGAGGACGCTGGTGAGGAAGGTGAGTGTAACGACTGTCTTGCTTGCAGCATTGTCGTCGTAACGAACGCTGACAGTAACATGTGCACAAGATATCTTCATCGAGGAGGTTTAATCTCACCTCCGTGCTGGGGAAACTATCTTCAAAACACCAAAGAGGGTGGGTGAAGTCACGTGGCATCGGGAGTCCCTAGTTAGGGTTGAACCTTCTACATCTCTTGCTACTCCTTTTTTTTTTTCCCCTTTCTTGCTTCCTCAAGAGGCTATGCCTTGATTCGATTAGCGGGCTATTCATACACGCGACCGAAGGTGTAGGTAAGGAGCAGAGAGGACCCGCAGGAGTAGCCTCAGTGCTGAGATTGCGGGTAACACCAAAAGCATCCGGTCGTCATTTTAGCGGAATCATTTTCTTCAGAGCATGCGGAAAAAGCGCCAGTCCAACCACATCACTCAAAAGGATTATAGAGAGCTGCTCCAGTTCTTGTGACAGGACATGCTTAGTCCATAGGGGGCTCGTCTATCTACAAGAATCAGCCACTTCTACTATTACGATCCCTTGCGACCACCACCCGTTCGTGCAGCGGTTGCGATGAACTTCAATCGTGGTCTGGCCCTACGACGTCATGGATCATATGGGAGTGGCTGATGTCTGGCTACTCAGCGCTCCTCAGCGAGGCGAACGGGGCAATTTGCCACCCGCAACGATCCCATCTTAGGTACCTAGACACCTCCCCGGAATAATGCAAGGTTCGGCGCTCGCAACAGTCGTCACGGACCGAGCCGCCTTGGCTTCAGCGCATCCGGGGCGACACTGAGCGAACCACAGCAGAGATGCTCGCGACAATCGCTTCCTCAAACGACGGTCCAGCACACTACACGACTCAGGACAGGATCTAGGAACCCCAGACGCCGCTCCGTCCTGCCAAATTGCGTTGGAAGCGAACTCCAGACTCCTGTCGCTGAATGGCTGGTGTGAAAGATGTTCCTCAACCAAGCCACGAGGTGGAGCAGAACAGAGTGCACATCGTCCACGAATCAATGGCGCACGAGAGCGTTCGGAACGCACTTGGCCTGGAAATCGGGACTCGGTATTTGTATTGGCGTCAAGGCATTGGTGGGAGAGCAGAGCGCACGAGGGGGTGCAGGTGCCCGCGACAGTGGAAGCAAGCCTCACAGGCCGGAGCCCATAAGCCATCTGTGCGGGGCTGGGCGCGGCGATGTGGGCGCGGGACTCGTGTCGCAGGCGATGGCTTCCTGGGGCGGAGGCGGGGTGTTGTAGCGCTGTAGCCAAGTAGCCAATGGTCGCGGGGGCGGGCTGGATATAGCACGCCGCCACCATCCGAGCGCGATAGGAGGCAGCAGTCGAAGTATCGGACCGGTCGAGGCACCCTGGACAATCAGCCCATCCGCAGCCGGCAGTGGGGCACGGCGGCTCTGGCAGTGATCGGACGGCAGCAAGCCTCACTGTCGCGCTCCTACCTAGCTCCACGGCCGGACGAGGCGTGGAGGCACCACCGAGGAGGCCGGCGGGCGGGCCTCTGGCGCGGTCGCGGCGCCAGGGCTGCGAAACGGGGGCGATCTGGCCGAGCGGGTGCGGCCGGCTGCGACTGGCGCGCGGTGTTGCGGCGATGGGGGCGACAGGCGCTGGGGCTGGGGCGACACCGACTCTGATGAATGGATCGCCAAACGGCTGCGGGTGGGGCAGCATCCCTGCCCGCGGCCGGCAGCCACTGAACATCCACAGCATGAATTTCTCGAGGCACAGCGCGCAGATTCCCCAGTGCGCCTGTACCACCTCGTCGACCCCGACAACCTGCACGCTGCGCGACGGTCCCTGATCGCTCATATACCTCTGGGCCCCGCCGCGAGCCTCTAACCCGCCCGATTCCGCCATCTCGCACGCCAGCCCCGCCAGCTGCTCCACCACCTCTGCTCCCGCCGCCGCCAGCTCGCCCGCCATGGCTCAATACCACCCCACCTGGACGCAGTCCTACATCGAGCGCGCCCTGCTGCCCGAGACCTCGCCCCTGACGGCCTACCTGCTGCGTCTCATCGCCATCAAGCGCACCAACCTGTGTCTCTCCGCCGACGTGACCACCACCCAGGCCCTGCTCAGCCTGGCCGAGGAGGTCGGCGACTCGATATGCCTGCTCAAGACTCACGCCGACATCATCAACGACTTCAGCGACCGCACCGTCAAGCAGCTGCGCGATATTGCGAAGCGCAAGAGGTTCCTGGTCTTCGAGGACAGGAAGTTTGGCGATATCGGAGGTAAACATTTGCTAGTTTGAGATGGCAAGCAGCGCCGCCTACGGGTCGTGATGCGGCAGTTTCCTTTGGAGCTAGCTGCGGCCTCCAGCAAAGGTGCCATTGGCTGACGTTTGTCTTGTTTTGTCCAGAGACGGTCCAGAAGCAGTACACCGGCGGCCCGCTCGCCATTGCGCGCTGGGCAGAGATCACCAATGCTCACATTTTCCCGGGCCCGGCTATTGTCTCCTCCCTCAAGGACGCCGCTTCAACCGCCATTGCCACCTTCAACCAGTCCGTGCAGACCGAGATCAGCGCCGAGCCTTCGGACTCTGCCTCTCCTGCGCATCATGCCGATCAAAGCCATCTTGAGGTTGACGAGCACGGAAACCCCGCCGACGACCGCAAGCAGAGCGTCGTCTCCATCTCGACGACCATCTCGCAGAGCATCAGCCCCCAGCCCACTCCCATCATCGAGGACGAGGGCCACCATGACGACGCCCACGAGATCTTGGAAAGGCTGGGCAGTACCCCCTTCCTGCGCGCGCTGCTGCTGCTCGCTGAAATGAGCTCTGCTGGCAATCTCATGACCGGTGCCTACACTGAGCAGTGCGTCAAGATTGCACGCGAGCAAAAGGATTTCGTCATGGGCTTCATCGCTCAGCGCTCGCTCAACACCGAGCCTGGAGACAACTTCCTCACCATGACGCCCGGCGTGAAGATTCCTCCCAAAGGGCAGGAGGGCAAGATGGGCGATGGCAAAGGCCAGCAGTACACCAGCCCTCGCCAGATAGTCTACGAGCAGGGCTCCGATGTTATTATCGTCGGCCGTGGCATCATCGAGGCGGACAACAGGGCCGAAGAGGCCGAACGGTACAGGAAGGAGGCATGGGCCGCGTACGAGGAGCGCACTGCTAAGAAATGAGCTGATCACCTCCCTTCATCGGGACCAAGGAAGAGCGTCTGGTACCAGCCGGCGGGATAAACGCGAACGGGCGTATAAATTTCACTACGGATGAGCTATGGCATTTTTGCTAAGCGCGAGTCTTCGCACATATACGATGATATCGTTGCGGCGATAGCTTCATGGCTGTTGAGAGACGATAGATGCTATAGCGGGAAAAGCGGGGAGATGCGTGACGATCAAAGAGGACAGGAGGTCGACGATTGTACATTGCTCACACGGCCATCTTGTTGCTTGCGGAGCTAATAGCAGCATCGTCCTTTCTTCGGTCTAAACATGTACGGCAGACAGAAAAAAAGACGCTCTTGTTATTCAAAAACAGTAAAGAACTTCTGAACTGGGGGTCCGCTTGGATCTAGGGCTGCGCTTTGCCTGCGTGTCAAACGAAGGTACAAGTGAGTACATATGTTCCCTATCATTTCTACGCCAGGATTCAAATTCAAAAGTCTGGCCTCAAGATATCCTTGACTTGACTAACTTTCCATCGTCGGATGAATTCAGCCCTGCCTGGCATGTGCGAACCAATTGGACGCAGTCTTACACGAGACTGAACCCTCCTTTACAAGCACCACCCTTGACCCCGGTAGGACTGTTCCCTGGGCTCTATCATGGAGACCGAATTGCCTCGAGCGGTCTGTATAGAGGATAGTGATGCGGGATATTTACACGTGTTCCCCGCCTCTCAACTTCTGTGCAATGGCCTCAGAGAATGCCTCAGCCTGCCAACTCATGTTTTTGCCCGTCGCTGTGCACCGCCATCGCTTGCTCATCCCCATGCGGGTCCCCTTCCATTTCATATCTCTCCCGCTCTGGCCCAGAGGGGAACTCAGCCGGATTCAAGGGTGCGCCTGGCACCATTTCGCCGCCCGAAACATTGAAAGGACTACGCGGATGCGCATCAAATTGGTACATTGGCGGCGGCGAAGTTGCACTGCTGTTGACGTCTCTGCCGTCCTTCATCTCTCGTGTTGGCAGCTCAGAGCCACGAGGCCGGTTCCCTTCCTCGTCGTTGCTTGGTCTGGAGCTGCCATGCTGCTGCTGTCCACGTTCTCCCCTGCGGCGGCGGAAGAGGAAGAAGGCTATGATGCTTGCGAGCAAAAGGGCGAAGCCTCCTACGCCCACACCCACGCCCACACCAATCGCAACAGCATTGCTTGGGGAGGCTTGGGATGAAGACCGTGATACCGTGGCACTCACAGACGACGTGGCCGATGTGGCGGAGGAGCTGCTGTATGGTATGGTGGTGACGACCTCGGCAGTTTCGTAAGGGAAGATGTCGGTGGCATTGCTGCAGCAATCGTATCCCCTACCACAACAGTAGGAGCCGCCCGTACCGCACGTCGCCAGGCCTTGGCCGGCATCCAGTCTATCGGAAGCTATGATTGGCACCGGTCAGTCCCATGCCACATCGCATTCTTGGGTCTGGCGCAAGCGATTTCGGAGGCGTGAGCAGGCAACTTACGTCCCAGGCATATTTGCGGACACGAGGTTGAGTTCCATGTCCGGTCGGTGCAGGACGAGCGGTAGACGGTGTACTGATAGGAGCGGCGGGTGTCTGGTCCCGGTTGACAAAGACCGTTGGAAAGGCACACGAAGCCCGGACCGCAGCATGGAGAAACGGCTTGACTGGGGAAGCACGGGCTGCCGCTGGACTGGATGCCGTTGGGGAAGAAGCAGTCACGGCTGTCGTCCTTATTGCTGGTGCCTTGGGCGGCGACAAATGCCGACACCAAGAGTGGACAGGCACACGGCCACTGCGCGGTCCGCATGATGGCTGGCTCCGAGGAGGGCGGGAGTCAGTGGTTGGGAAGCAAATGGCCCTTCTCCTCAGGTCTTCCGGGCTCGTGCTGGCTGTCTCTTCCGCCTGGCGCCTGGGCCCGGTCGCATTGCAATTGCGGTGCGGGTGTGGCTTGTGGAGCATACGGCTGGGGGCATGGGCAGGGCGGGAAGGATCCGGAGGAGAACCTATTATACCTACACGAGCAGCCCACGGCGACCGGCCACACGGCGGCGCCGCGGGCACTGCACTGGATATGCAGGCCAACAACACGGCTGTCCTCGGCGGGCCAATCGACTCTTGCGAGACCCTGGTGGTCAGCATTTAGCAGAGCGCTAGATAAACCCGCCCCTGTCGCGTCTTTGGGGGCGGATTACTATTGAGAGAGCCAACAGCAGGTTGCCCGCCCCGCCGGCCATCCTTGCTCCATCCGGCGCGCACGGCCGCATCGCCTGCCTGTTTGAGCACCCGACGTTGTTGGCTGTGTCCAGCCTGTGTCCAGCCCTGGGCTAGCGGCCCCGGCTTGCAGCCCGCGAGCCTTCCGCCCGCCGCCTCAGCCGCGACACCACCAACGCCGTTGACATCAGACACGCCCTCCGTCGCTTCGGCCATGTACTCAAGCCCCCGATGCCGACGATAAAAGAGGCGCCCGCCCTTGGCAGTGGGTGCCCTCCTCAGCCCCCCCTCCTCGTGGCCTGAGTACAGAGCAGCCCTGCGCCATGCTGCCAATCCTGCTCACGCTCATCTCCTCCCTTGGCGCTGCATCCGCGACCCTCCCGGCAAAGACCGCTGCGCGAGACGCAGGCCCTCCGGCCGGATGCGGCAACGAGCTCCCCGACGGCATCGAAGCCGGCGTGTCGGTCAACACAACCATTGACATCGCTGGCGTCGAGCGGCAGTACCGCATTCACTTGCCGGACAACTACGACGCGAACACGCCTGTGCCGCTAATACTCTCCTATCACGGCCGTGGCAAGGACATGAAGTTCCAGGAGGAGCTCTCGCAGTTCTCGAACAAATCCAACAACCCGAACGCCATTGCCGTGTACCCGCAGGGCGTGCCGGTAAGTAGCATGGCTCGGTCGAGAATTGCCGCAAGCTTTCCAGCTCGGGTGCTAACGCCATTTTTGAGACCGCCGGCGGCACCCACCAATGGTTAGGGGACATTTCAGCCACCGCTTCTGTGAACAACGATATACAGTTCACCACCGAGCTCATTGCGAATCTGAGCTCGACTTACTGCATCGATCCCGCGCGAGTGTATGCCACTGGTAAATCCAATGGCGCTGGTTTCACGACTCTACTCGCATGCGACCCCGATGCTTCTCTCCAGATTGCTGCCTTCGCTCCCGTGAGCCCAGCCATCTACAAGGGGGTGCTCGGTGCACCCGAAGGCGAGCTTCCTCCCTGCAAGCCCAGCCGAATTCCCATCCCGATCATGGAGTTCCATGGCTTTGCGGATGGGCAAATCGGGTACAACGGCACCTCGAAGCGCGGTGACACGGCGGACATTCCTGAGTATATGAATGACTGGGCTACGCGCAACGGCTTTGATGCGGACAAGAACAAGACGACTGACGTATGCGCCGACACCGAGTTTCCGGCGGCGTGGAAGCATAGCTGGGGTAATGGCCTCGTGCAGCACTACAACGCGTCCAATTTGGGGCACACCTGGCCTGACACGTACGAGAATGCGGATGGTGGCCGCCAAACGTGTTATGATGCTACGCCCTTGATTATGGAGTTTTTTCAGAGGTTTACGCTGTGAGAGTAAGCAATGAGAAGAAGGTTTGCGGAATCTCAGCTAGCGCACTCTCACTTGGGTTGCATGTAAGCAGACAATACAGATTGTTGATGCCATCTGTGTAGTCCTGCCTCGGAAATCCAAAATTCAATCTGTTCGTTGTGATCGTACGCACCCCGAGTGGCCCAGGAAGTGGCGACTGATCCCGATGCTAGCTTTACAGTTACGGACTTTTTTTTTTTTTTTAGCCGTCCATGAAGTGCTTCTGGGACAAGCAGGACACGGCTCGTGAAAAGGGTCAGTCAACTAAAGCATGGAAGAGAACGATGGGATGGGAGACAAGTGGAAGGAAAGAGAGAAAGTGCTTGTTCCTGGAGCATGAGCATGATCGAGATTTCTGTCCCGGTCAAAACGACGCGCATAAAGAATGTTTTTAGAGGGACTATCTGTCGATGAGCGGAGAGAATCCAACGCCCGTACTCACAGTACGGCCGAGTAGTGGGGATGTGTGGGACTGTGCGTCGAGCCTCGGCCGTTTAATGGGTTGGTAAGGCGGAGGCACAGCACCCGAGGTCACGGCAAGTGTTCACTCATCGTCTAATATCTTATAACCCGGCCTTGCAGCCTTCGAGCAGCGTTGATCCCACATCACGGACCTTGGCGCCTTGAGCAAACATGTCAGCAATCGTCGTTACCGCCATCGTCACGCCCAAGGCTGGCCAACCGGTCGATCAGGTGCGCCCTGCGTCCTTACTATACACCGTTTGTGACGTTTCACTCACCAGCACTGCCAGATCGAGAAGATCCTCGCCGATCATGCTGCCTGGGTGCAGCAGAACGAGCCAGGAACCCTTCGCTATGCTTTGCACAAGTCCATTGGCGACGGCCCGACCGTCTTCACCATGATCGAAACGCATGTCTCCGTGTTCCCGCCCTTCATTCGGACAGTGGCTTACCCAATGGCGTTCAGGTACAAGGACAAGGCCGCCATCGATGCCCACTCGCAATCACCTAGATTCAAGGAGGTGGCCCCACAGCTTGCCACCATGGTAGACATGCAGCTCTACGTGTCGCAGCCGGTTGGCGGGTTTGAATCCAGGACTATGGAAAGTTCCAAGATATAAGTAAACCATGTAATTCATCAATAATGCATTGTACATGGCTTGCATTTGCTGTCCCAACTCCAGACTCGGTCCATTAATGATACAGTACGCTTTGACCATGCTTCCTAGTTCCAGTAGTAGGAAAACATGTCAAGACCCATGAACTTGTCGGAGTATACCTTCCCTTTAGCCTCCCCGGCGGCCCCGGCGCAGACGATCAGAGGTAAGAAATGCTCCGCTCCCCCCCTGGGATGCATGTCATATGCCCCGGGAAATTTCCTCCACTCTTCGAGCTTCTTCCGTCTCTCTTCAGGCTCTTCTTCAGCCACCGCCTCGTTGACGGCCCTGTTCCACGCATCGTTCCGGCTCTTGAACGACGGCTGTTGTGTCATGCCCGAGAACATGGCACGTAAATTGTGCAGAGACGGAAAGCCCGAGCCGAGGACAGCGACGTTGGAGTCGCGAAGCTTTGAGAGAGCCTGCCCCATTCGGAAGTGTTCGACTGGGTCCTCGGAGTTCAAGACGGACATTTGGACGATGGGTATGTTGGCTTTCGGGTTGATGAGAAGCATGGGAATGAAGACGCCATGGTCCCAGCCTGTGCACTGTCGTCAGCCACCACAACTCGACGCATGCGATCGCATGCATGCACACCTCTGTCCCCATCGAATTCCGGTTTCAAGCCCTCAGCCCGCATGGCTTCAGCGACCTCGTTCGCGACATCTGGGGCGCCCGGCGCGTCGTACTTCAGTTGGTAGGTCTCGGGAGGGAAGCCGTAGTAGTCGTAGAGAAGCGAATGTTCCTGGCCGTTGGAGATGGTGGGGTTACGTTCGGACCAGTGGGCGGTTACGAGGACAATGGCACGAGGCTGTTCCGGAGTGCCCAATCTCAGGATGGCAGGGACTCGTTCGCGCATCGACTTGACGAGCTTTTCGTGCTCAGGATCGCCGAGGATGGGCATTGGCCCGCCGCCATGAGACACACAGATGACCGGAGCGCGGGGCATGTGGGCAGAAGTCTGGTTGGCGGCGAAGTGGAAAGGCTGCTGGATTTCAGTCGCGGTGGCAGTCGGGAGGATGGCCCTTTTGAGAGTTGCGAGGAGTGAAGCCATGAGGACGACCGGCGCGGGGGACTTCATATGGCACGATGGGTGCGGGCGCGAGGGGCCTCCCCAGGCGGCGGAATGGTGGCACCCTCAGGCGGCGGTACGAAGTCATGGAGCGTGGGCGCGGAGGACGAGATCTCGTAAGCTGGTGTTGGGCTGGCGAGCGGAACCAATTCCACGGTCGCTGCTGCCCTCCGGCCGGAACTGGCTTTTGCCGGCGCCGACCCGGCCGAGAGGGCTGGCGTCACTCGCCTCCCATCCATTGCATCCCACCTACAGATCCTCATGGCCCTCCAGGCACTCGCTCGACGCTCCTCCGGCTTCCGCTCGCCGCTCTGCCCGAGACCACCAGGACGCCAGGCCCACCAGGACAGCAAGCCCACCCAGCCCAGCTCTGTGGATCCGCGAACTTCGGCGAGAGCAGGCAGGAGTTGCATACGCTGTGTCGAGGACTGGAGAAGTAGTCGCTTGCCGTTCTCTTTCTCCCAGATAGGACAGGTGAGCCCCGGGCCTCTGCTACGCAACAAAGGTACTCGGCGTCAGACCGGCGTCAGCCGAGGATGCCGACGGTACTGCCCTTGCCAGCGCGTGTCATTGGACAGCGGATAACACTGCCGACGGACATGCCCCCGTCGCCTTCGATTTGCCGGATATGCTTTTCTGGAACCAACCTCCGCATTCTAGTCGCGGCTTCGTCAACGGTCAAGAGCAGCAGCGCAGGCCGGGCTGGGCTGATCTCGGTGACGTACGGATGTATACCGCCGAAGACTGCCAGATCCCTAGCTCGTTTACACACCCGACACTTTCCCAAGATACCAACGCTTTGTAGGACGCAGCTATCCTCACACCTCAGCCTTGATTTCGCTGAAACGGGCGGGGAGGGGCGATCTAATGCACCTAGTTCCTGCCTGCAAAGCCACGGCAGCCCTGCGTGTTCAGCTGGCTCAGCAACCACTTGGCTGCACCCTGTCACTGCCTGCGCATTGCAGTGGGAGTCGGCCCGTCGAAAGCCTCAATCAGGTGCATGCCATGCCATTTCACCAGCTCCCGCCGGGTCTCGCCGTCCCGCCATGGTCTGAGGTCGAGCGCTGGGTTGAACCCTTGGCGACCCCTCACACGATCGATCGATGCATGCGAGCTTATACCGTCAAGACGCAGGTCTGGCGAGGTAGCCCTCGCCTGCTTACGTATCGACCTACTCCTTGGCTCGCAGCTTCGCCATACCTGGGCGGTTTCGCTTTCCGCTAGTCCTGGGGCTGCTCGTTAGCCTGTTGAGAAAAAGAGTTTCTGTGGCTTCCTTGTGCACACTTGCGTAAAGCCCCGCTGGGCCGTCAGCCACCATGATGGGATCAAAACCCTAAGCCGTCCGCCCTGAATGCTATCCACTTTCCCCATTCAGCCACTCTTTCGCGTTTCCTTGTCGTCATCCCCGTTGTGCTTGCCGCTCTAGCCAGAGACACGGATGCAAGAAACTCGCGTCGTTCCCCGACTTCTCGCTCTACCTGATTCCGACCCGATCCGACCGCCGCGTCCGCGGCACGCGCAGCAATGGCCATGGCCTCCACTGGCTTGGACAGCTTATTGAGACATGATTCCTCCTTTCTCCCAGAGGTATGGGCTTGGTTCGGAATCGGGGTTACCGTTATCCTCTTACGATTCGGGGTGAGGATCAGGATGGTTGGCTTTCGAGGGTTCGCAGGTGATGACTACATGACGATAACGGTAAGTGATCTGTTGACCCTTTACGTCTGTTCTGACGGACGCAGACACTCGCAATGTACACTTGCGATGCCGCGTTTGTGGATATATGCTGTAAGTCCATGCAATCGCCCCGCGCCACCGCCTTTCCTGAATCCTCGATTTGCAACGGCGATTCCAGTTCCAAAACGTCTATGCATACGTCAACCTGGAGCCAGTCACTGACTCGTAGGTTCAGATAGGTGTGGGACGAATGTGGACGTACCTCCAGCTACGATAGACGGGTTAACGGACCCGGAACGTGAACGATTAAGATACGGGTCGAAGATGCAACTTGCTGCCTGGTATTCCTATACGGCCCTTATTTGGTGCATGAAGGTAAGTAACCTGACCGTGACAGACTGATACAAGGGCAGCACGGCTCTGAACCAATGCACGCGCCGGATGCGGAAGCAAGGCAGCTGTAACAAATTGCTGGTATGAGAAGGAGCCAAGGAGCATGTGTGATCAGTGCCCATTAGCATCGTACCCGGGCTCCTGACAACCGTGTCCAGTTCGCTTGATTCGTCATTCCTCGGACCCAAGAAGCTCCGTGTTCTCGAGCCCGTAGGAATGGACGTGCTGTTCCTGTTCCAGTCAAGACACAGTCTACATTTGCTTGCACCATGCCCCGCTAATTCGATTGACAGGCCACGCTGCTCTTCTAGTAAGTGCGTTGGGTTGGTGAAGATGGCACAGGTCTTGACATCGTACAGCAAACGCCTGACGTTTGGGCTTTGGCAACACAGAGCCCTGAAATACCTGGCATGTTTTACTGCCGCGTCGTATGTGGCTGTCGTACTGACGATATCGCTTGGATGCCGACCGTACGGCAAACGGTTCGCTTGCTCCTCAAGACGTATCGCTAATCACCATTTCAGATTCTACCAGAATTGGAACGTGAGGCCTCTTCCGCCGAGTCAGTGTACACTGAAGAAGCAAAATTTCCTAGTGACGGTCGTTCTCAGTAAGGCCGAGTCTTTGTGCACCGAGCTTCGTCTTTGCTGACCGACCCAGACGCTCTTACAGACGCTGCCATCCTCTGCATACCGCTGCCAATGCTTAGGCAGCTGAAGGCGCCACTTTACAAGAAAGCACTGGTTGCTTTGCTGCTGTGCTCTGGCCTGTTCGTCATAACAGCAGCCATCATCCGCGCAGCCGTCACCCTGGGGTCCTCGCCGTCGAGCATAACAATCAACCGCTGGGGGGTCCGAGAAACCATCATTGGGATCCTGTCGATCAACGCGCCCATTCTGCGCCCGCTCTTCACGCGCAGCTTCTGGACCGGCGTGAGCGTGAACGAGACGAGGATAAACGCGGCCGCGAATGCGCCAGCGGAGGACTCGCCAAGGCGGCGGAAACGCGTGTTTGGAAGCAAGAGCAGCAGATCGGACAACACGGAAAGTAGCGGCACGCCCAAGAAGCTCTCCAAGTCGGACAGCGCTGCTTTTGGAGTCGACACCAACGTACCGGGATATTCGGTGAATGAGGGCGACAACTCGTCGCAGGAGAACATGGTCGGGCGGGACGAAGAGGAGGGAATCGAGCTGGCGCCGCTCGCGGAGGGGCATGACGAGGAGGAGGCAAGCGTCAGGCTGCAGCGGCCGGAGAACGTCGTGTACGTGGAGCGATCGTACGCAGTGAGGACGTCGGGTGCTGGGCGCGACAGCATGGCGGCGTCTGACGAGCAGTGGCGCGCGATGGCTTACAGGACTCGGACGGACATCCGAGCAGCGCGTCAAGCACCGTCTCCGAGATAGGTAGAAGCCCATGGACGTGGCAGAATCTCACAAGAAGTGCACCCTGCGTGACTTGAGCAAGCGGCCACGACATCGGGCTGGGGTGGCGGTCGGAGCAACACCGGCCTTGCCCTTGGCCGCGCTTCCGTAGGCTCCACCATCCGGGCAACCAGCCACAGCCTCCTCGATGCGGAATCCAATTGCCTGCGTGTCGTGTCGCAATGCCAAGCAGAAATGCATCCACCAGGACAAACCGCCCTGTGACCGCTGCCGCGCCGCGGGCCGCGCAGACCAATGCCGCTTCCCGCCGCCCGGCACCTCCGCCATCCACCGGCAGTCGAAGCGCCGCCGCCAGACCTCTGGGGTTCCAGCTCCCCTCGAGAACCCCTCGCCCTCCGCCCGCCCGCCGCCCGCCTACGCCAACGACGGCTCGGCTGCCGTGCGCGCCCTGTTCCCCGCCGGCCTCGACACGTCGCTGCAGGACGTCGACGGCTTCCAGCTGCTGACGGACGAGGTCAAGAACAGCTATCTGCGCTGCTCCTACAAGTGGAGCTTCCACCACACCCCGACCCTCCTGGCCCGCGTCAGCGAAAAGACCCTCGACCCATGGGTTGTGTGGGCCATCCTGGCGCTTGCCGTAAGGTACGTCTCACGTGCCCGCGAGCTCCCACCCCGCCGACGCCATCCATCCTCACCGTGACGCCCGCAGGTTCAGCCGCCACGCCCCGGGGCCCTACGCCACCCCGACTGATGCCAGCAAGGCTTTCGCCGCCCATGCTCGCCACATCCTCCAGCCCGAGATCGAGACGCCCAGTCTTTCGCGCATCCAGGCCCTGCTGATGCTGACCGGCCACGACTGGGGTGCCGGCAACGGCAGGAGGGCTTGGTTCTACCTGGGCATGGCCATCCGCATGGTCCAGATCCTGAATCTCTGCGAGGAGCCTCCGCTTTCGGCCAGCGCCGTGGTGAGCCCCCGTGACTTCATCGTCGCCGAAGAACGCCGCCGCACCGCCTGGACCTGCTTCCTGATGGACAGCCTTTTGAGCGGCGGCAAAGGCCGGAAGCGCTCTCTTTCTGCCGCGGACATGAGAATCCAGCTGCCTTGTGAGACCGACCTGTATGTCTTTGGTGAAGCCGTGCGATGCCCAAGGGTGGACGGCTCGTTCAGTCCCCATTCCGCCATCCTGCCCCTGGGCAACCTTGGCGTCATTGGATTCAGTCTGCGGATTGCCGATGTGTGGGGCGCCGTGGCGTCCTGGGCCTGTTCGAACCTCATGGACGAAGAGCTGCCGTGGGTGCCGACTTCCAGATTTCACCAGCTCTCTGCCTCCCTTCGGGCGTGGTCGCAATCCCTCCCGGTCCGGCTCCACTACAGCATCTGGACTCTGGAGGCCCACAATGCGCTTGAGCAGGGCCAAGGCTTCATATACATGCACTGCATCCATTTCATGAGCTTGATGTTTCTTCATCGGGCGTACCTGCCGGTGCTCGGGCCTGGTCGGGACTCCCAAACCAACGGCGTCGGCCCCCGGGAAAGTTTTGATTGGGCCGAGTGGCGCAAATCGTCGAGAAGAGAGTTGTTCGAAGTGGCGACCACTGTGTGCAAAATGGTCGACAAGATCCAGTCTTTTGGCTTCTACTTTGTCCGCGGACTCGTTCCCTGGATTGGCTTCACGATTTACACCGCCGTGGGTGTCATCGTCTACCGGAACAGCTTCCATTTCGACGACGTGGATGGGGTCATGACCATGGCCAAGAGCAAGGAACAGATTGTTCGAGGATGCACGTTCCTGAAAGAGATGAAGGAGCAGTGGCCAATGGCCCAACAATGGGTACACTGCCTTCCGTACGGGCCAGCAAGCCCATGTGCTAACAACTCGTTAGTTTGAAACCATCAAACGCATGCAGGCCTGTTACCGTAGGGTCCACGTTGAGGGTGGTGGTAGCATTCCGGACGCCGAGCAGCGAACCATTCGCAGTGCGATGATCGACTATGGCGCTCTTCAGCCGTCGCCCGTGCAGCCCGATGAAGAAGGCAGCAACCAAGCAGTACCAAGCTCAAATGTAAGTTGCAGGGAAAGCCTGCTGAATTACGATTCCGCTGACTCCACCAAGCCGCTTGATGCAAGCGTTCCCGCCAGGGCTGAGTCTGCAGGGGCCACGAACCCTGTGGATCAGGTCATCACCGACGATGCTTTCCTCACCCAGGATTGGTCTAATGTAGACCTGAATATCTCCGACGCGGATCTAGATGCCATGTTCATGAACGCGACCCAAGACTTCTGGGCGAGCTTTCCTGGTGAAGTGGGATATCTTCATGTTTAGTTCGCCACAGGTCCTCGCACCCATGCTTCCCATATTGCACCCACCGGCTTATCTGCTTGTGCACAGGTTTTGCCGTGAAGTACAGATACCGTACATGGCCAGACCACGAAGCTTGCCAGGTTCTATTATGACATCAGCAGAAGGCAGGCGTCCAGGCCCAAGGTGCCTCCGTGTGCGTTTCATCAATTTATTTTTTGGGGCGCAGGGGGGAAAGAACCTGGGAAAACCGCCCTCCACAAAAGCCTGACTGCCTTACTGACTGGTGGGGCTTCGTTTTTATGTGAATGGAAATATTGTTTGCCGGTCCTCAATCTCCTTGGTTTACCGTGTATCTCGCACAGAGGTGGCTATCGCGGAACCGAAGACCTATATTGCTTATCCCGACTACCGTATCTCGGCGTGTTAATTCAACCGCAGTCTTTAGAACCAATGAGACCTAAGTCTCGTAGATCTATATGCATTGACTTTGAACCAAAAGGGTTAGACCATGTTGAGAGGATACGTACGACAAGCGGATGCTAAGATTTTGTGCCTTCCATTAGTTTGCAACGCTGTAGGGAAAATAGGCGCGTTGTGGCTCTGATCCATGGCTCTCTACAGCGCACGGTCTGGCTGCGATCAAACGTTTCGGCAGATTTTCTTCAACGAACCAAAGTTTTGATAGTGTTCACAGGCAGCGCAACACCTGCTGCGAATATAAAAGGCCGCTCGTTCCACATCGTAAATTTATCCCGCCACACTCAGTCTACGCATCGACTCTTCCAACATGAAGTTCTCCAACGCCATCATCGCCTGCGCTGTTCTCATGGCTCAGGCCGCCCCGGCCCTTGCAGCTCCGCTGCACACTTCAGAATTGCCGCCCCTCCCCGGCGCAGACGGCCTGATACCTTTTATGCACGTTCACCTAGTATTCACTATTGTCCGACTCCAACTAACGCGTGATTAGGATGATGGGACAACTTGACCATGAAAGGATGGCAGGGCTGTGTCCCTGCAAATTCGGGGAGCCAAAGGATCCCAGTTTGAAAAGGAATTACTTTTCCATGTGCACGATCGACGTGGACCAGTACGTTTTGATCTCTCATATTCCCCCAGCATCCTCGACCGACACCGTCTAACATGTGATTCAGGGCCAGGGTCAAGACCCAGAAGTATTGGTCCGAACAAGTATGCCCTTGCGGGCCGATGCGGGTGCAATTCAATCCGTACGGCTCACCAAAGTGTGGCCCGGCGCCGACGACGGCTGGCCAATCTGGCCAGCAGGAAGCTGCGTCTCCTCATGCTCGCCGAGCAGACTCTCTTATGATTGAACACCTGATGTATGAAATCGTTTGAGGGACTCGGCTTCGGCTGGCGGGCTTCGAAAATGGGCAGGACAGTTGGGAAAGCCCAGAGTGGTTTAGGTCATCCTATCTCGGGTTGAAGTCTATGATCTCGTTGCAGAAAATTTTCGTAGAAACAAAAAAAAAAATCTCTTTTCGCCACCTCGTAATCATATTGCATCGAAGTGGAAATATTGACTTGCCCCTAGCCGATGTTGTGTGTAAGGGAGGTGGAAGGTCGGGATAAAAGGGAAAGAGTGCTACAAGATGACGAAGAGGGGCGGCAGTCCTGGCGACGCAGCCGCCCGAGAAGACGAACCGGGTTGCGTTGGGTTATTCGGCGGCGCCGTGACTTTCATCCCAAGGCTGCAGGCTCTGATCGGACCCCCACCGGCGGGCGCTCGTGAGGCCACGGCGAGGCAGAAATGATTACCAAGACAGTCTGAACAGCTGCTGGAGCAGTGTTGGGGCGCAGCAAAGTTGGGGGATCGTCGTTGTAGGCAACATCGACCAGGATCCCTGGAACTCGGGAGCGGGTCTCACGTTGAGTCGGCGTGCAGGGCACTAAAAAAAAAAGAAAGAAAGAAAGAAAGAGACGTGGCTTGAGTGTTGCCTTCTCCTTCGTTCCCGAACCTGGGCTGTCGGTCTACCGTAGTAGGCGTACGGGCTCGCTTAGCCCTGCAATGGTGGGGAGGGTCAGCGAGGCTGTGCCGTTGGTGACCACCACCAACACAGATTCGACCCTACTTCCGCTTCTGTTCGGCTCAACGATAAGAATATTGATGCGGCACGTCATTCGCGGCCCGCGCCGCGCAGATGTTGACTCAGTCCATGTCTGCGTGGTCGGAAGCCGGAGGTGATGTGAGAGCTGCACTAGCGGATTGCTACGCTACCCCCAAGTGCCGTAGGGCTTAGCGCGGCTGAGGCAACCCATGATCTGAAGCCTTGATCCTGTGGTTCAAACCCTTTGTTTTTTTTTCATTGGGTGGGTGGGAAGGGAGGGGCGTGTGGGTACATACGTATTGCCTGTTCAGCCGCACATGAATCGCCATGCTGAAGAAGAGTAGCTGAAAATGAGGACGCCGCAGCGGCAAGCCCGGAGCATCGCATCTTTTCAACGTCGCAAAAGAACCTGGCAAGTGCTGCTAAGCCACTGGAACAGCCATGTGAGTGGGGCTCTCAGCTGCCTTCTGGTCTCCGATCGAATCCCACGGGAACATTGAATGATTTCAGCGTCCACGAGACCTCGTTGGGGCAGGGTATTGCTTAGGACCGGCTATATCATTGGACAAGTTACCTGTGCGGTGGAGTGCTGACCTAGCTGAAGGAGGCTCAATAGGAGGCCTTGGTGCAGTTAGGGGGGCTTCCTGTCTGCAAATGAGAGTCTGTCTGATACTCCGAGGGTTGCATCGTGTTCGGTCGCGCCGGAAGCTTGGTGCTGTATTCTTTGGCTTAGCTGTGTAGCCTGTTTCGTTTACCATGAGCATTTTCCAAAAAGAAAAAGAATAAGATTGTTAGCGTTGGCACTAAGGTACAGGCGAACGTAGCTGCCTCTTTTTAGGCTGACACAGTTGGAACTTCTCAAGCGTTTGATATAAAAAACCACGGTGATCAGCATAAGCTCACATGGAACCGTGGTGTACTTGTCTTTGGAGCAACACCGCATCTTCTTGTATCTATCTTTCTTGTAAACCTCATCTCATCCCCTCCCCCGACAATGGCAGGCGATTCTGTAAAGACCATCATCTTCGACATTGGCGATGTGCTTTGCAGCTGGGTCCCACCAAAGACACTTGGCATCAGCCCAAAGCTCTTCAAAGAGTTCCGCGACTCGCATACGTGGTATGACTACGACTGTGGCAAGATCAGCGAGGATGAGTGCTTCGCGAGATTGGCGGCTCAAGGCGGCGTTTCCACCACCGACGTGGCGGCGGCGTTTGAGTTGGCCAGGAACTCGCTGGTGCAGAATGACGGCGTGGTCACAGCAATCCGAGGCTTGAGGGCGGCGCACCCTCACCTACGCGTTTATGCCATGTCCAACATCTCTCGACCCGACTGGGAAATGCTCCGCCGGAAGCCGTTTGGTTGGGATATCTTCGACTGCATTTTCACGTCTTGTGAGACTGGGATGCGCAAGCCCGAGCTTCGCTTTTACCGCCACGTGCTCAGCGAGACGGGGACGTCGCCTGCCGAGTCCGTCTTTGTGGACGACAAGCCGGACAACATCGTGGCCGCCCATTCGCTCGGCTTCCGGGAAGCCATCCTTTTCGATGACGCAGCCAATGTGCGAAGGCAACTCTTGAACTTGCTCGAGGATCCGGCCCAGAGAGGGCGAGCGTGGATAAGCGGACATGCCAAGGAGCAGTGCTCGGAGACGGACCGGGGGGACTGCATCGACGATAATTTTGCACAGCTGCTTGCCTACGAGGCAATGGGGGACGGGTGAGCAGTCAGGAAAGATGTCTCCATTCCGGCCAAGGTTGCTGACTACGAGATTGTAGAAGTCTTCTGAACCACAGGCCCTTCGACCGGACGTGGAACTACTTTGCAGGTCAGTGAAACTCCAGCTGCCGACGTGGATAGGGGACTGACTGGGAGAAGCACCGCTCGGAATGCCCCAAAAGATATGTGATGACGTGGACACGACGTCGTACGCGTTCAAGGTGCTGCAGCTCGACAACAAGATGGCCCACTCGATCATGGATGAGATGATGTCAGCGGAGCAGAGAACAGCGGACGGGATCGTCAAGGTGAGGGCAGCCAGCCAGCAATGACCGAGAAGGTGCTGAACAGCGGTGCGCAGGTGTACTTCGACAAGACGAACAGCCGGACAGATGCTGCCGTGTGCATCAACGTCGTGCGGCTGCATTACAAGTTCGGGCGCGGCAATGAGCCCGGACTCCAGGCGACAAAGGCCTGGATCCAGGACGTGCTTTTCTTCCGGGGGTACATGAACGGGACGCGGTACTACCCGCAGCCAGAGGTGTATCTCTACTTCTTCGCCCGGCTGCTGGTGGAGAACCGGAACTCGGACTTGTTCCGCAGCACGGCGGCGCTGCTGCGGGAACGGCTCATGGAGCGCATCAACAGCCCGGCCGACTCGCTGGGGCTGGCGATGCGGGTGTTGGCGTGCCACTACATGGGCATCCGGGATGAGATGGACCTGAAGCGGCTGCTCACGAGACAGCAGGAGGACGGTTCGTTCGGGCTGGGATGGCTGTGCTCGTACGGAAAGACCCAGGTCAAAGTGGGCAGCCGAGTGCTCACGACGGCACTGGCGGTCGCGGCGGTCGAGGCATTGACGGGCAGTGGTGTCAAGGCGGCGCAGCAAGGCGGCACACGCGCCCCGATGCAGTATGGCCACGGTGTAGCAGTGCCCGCGTCGGCCTGATCAACCCCTAGTCCACGTCCTGCGCAAATGTGAAGTCATGCGCCCCCTTCAGATACTCGTGCCCGTCCCCCACCCATTCCACAGCCGGCTCCAGCCCGCCCCACTCGATCTTCCCTCTCGAGCCCTCCTCCAATTTGATCTTCAGCTTGCTTCTCCACCACCTCGCAAAATGGATTGTGACCAGCATAACCCTCGGCACATCCGTCAGGTTGGGCATCCCCGCATGCCACAGCCTGAAGTCCCGGATCACCAACGCCCCCTTGGGCAAGCACGTCCTCACCGGCGGCCGGACTCTCCTCCTCTCCTCGACCTGCAGCCCCATCAACCAACAGTCAGCATCTCGGCGTGCCCGGGCAGAGAAAGGGGGGAGTTTGGAAAAACACTCGCCATCCTCCCGTCAATCACATCCACGCAGTCCCGACCCTCGGCCATGGCCACCAGATGGCTGCCCAGCCACACCTCGGTCGCCCCGTTCTGCAGCCCAACCTCGTCCAAGCACACGTTGACGCAATACCCAAAGGCAAACTGCGTCGGATAGCCGCCGAACTCCAGATCGACATGCACCGGCTGCCGGCCCTCGGCGCGCGCCGCCGTGTTCGCCGAGTAGAAGCGCAGCACGGGGCGGGGCCCGAGGACGCACTCGGTGAGCTGGGTGGCGAAGGAATTGGCGATGACGTCGGCGTACACGAGCGAGGGCGTCGTCGGCGGCTCCTGCTGGATGTTGCCCGTCGCGGCGCCGAAGTTGCGGTGCACGCCGGCCGGTTGCCCGAGGAGCTGCGCGGCGTCGCGCTGCATGCGCTCGTTGAGCGCGGAGAGGTGGGCGGGCGAGACGGCGTTGGCGAGGGCGACGAGGCCGTCCGAGTGGAGGGCGTGGAGCGCGCGTTGGATGGTGTGGGTGCTGAGGGTGCGGGTGGAGAGTTCGGCGGGGGAGAGGGTCAGGATGACGGGGCCGTCGGGGCCGCTGGGGCGCTGGCCTGGTGTTTCGGCGGCCATTGTCATCGGACGATCGAGTGATAGGATTGTTCTCTGCTTTGCTTCAGCCCAGTCCAGATATATGTACTCGGTCCAAAGGTGGGGATGGACGGGCTTATCGGTAATGTCGGACCACCGCTTTGCCCTCAACTCCGGCTTTAGGTTTACCTCTCCTTGCGTGTCGGATCATGCAGCTTTGCAACGCACCCCCTCTAGTAATCCACTCAACGACTGCAAGATTCTGGAAACAATACCGATGACCCTCCTCCTCCATACCATGTGGTTATTCTCGAGGCTCGTTTGGCAAATTCGGGAGCGTTAAGCCAAAGTAGCTCGAGACGGCATGCGAATGATCCTACGATATTAGATCCGTAATGCGTTCAGCTTGCAATACTGCTCCGACTTACTATGGCAGGCCAGCTCAGCCACATGGAAAGGAAACAAGATGTCCAAACAGGTACACTAGAAGACTAGAGGCGCTGGCTCAGGAAAGAAACGAAAACCGTGCACGATAGCTCTACTTGTTGTCTGCAACATCTTTATCAACGTTGCACTCTTCCCCCGGCACTCGCAATGACTTAGAGGATCATCGTTTCCCATCGCCAAGTTAGAAGTGACAAATCACATTGTTTACCTGCAGCCGAGAAAGATCCGGCGACGATGAGCCCAGGAGATACATTAGATGAGAGAAAGCGGGTTAAAACTCCCTGATGCAAATGAAGAAGGAAAAGAGGTTCGGCCCTCAGTCGTTCCTCTGCGGTTTCACAAGGTTCCTTCAGGTGTGGGTAGCAACCAGGAGGCCCGATTTCCGGATGCGGTTGGAGCATTCATTGGCACGCGCAGCTAAGTGAGAAAAGCGAGGGCTTCCACCAACCAGGACAGCAGGAGACATGGTGCGAGGTGTGAAGATGCTTTCCTTACTCTGGCGCGGAATGGCAAGTGAAACGCAGCATGTTGGCATCCTTACTTGAGCCTGGGATACCCAGGGATGAGAGTGCGGAGAAGCGTGCAAGCCGGGAACACGTACCTAGCAACCCTACAAAACACCGAGCTGTTTCGTGCTGAGCCATCTCGTCGGAAAGGCGCCTTTTCCCGACGAGCCATGAAAAGAAGCGCGGCCAAAACTGTGTATATTGCGCGATCCAGCGCAAGCGTCAAGCCTAAAAGTAAAGGTGGTGTTGCTCCTCACTTGGCACTCACGAGAGGGCAGCCCTCTCCTGTGCTGCCCATCTTAGTGCGCATTCCAAAAGCGCGCACCAAAACTTACCTTATATGCGTGGACCAGGCTCATAAATGGGGCGAGCCTCGCGCGGCCATGAAGCCTCTCCTATGCCCTCAGCGCGGTTGCGCACTTGCCATCAGCGAGCCTCGTTGCCAACGGCCGACGGGAGAATGTCGCTCTGCCGCAACCGCCTGGAGGGCTTTGGGCCACACTCACCAACTCATCCACACCTACCAACAAGCTGTTTCCTCGATACCATTGTCATTCCACTACCAACATGGGCGTTTGTGCTTTTCCTTCTCGCGCTCCTCCCTCAGCGGATGAATCCGAAGCGTCACCGACGTGCATCCTCGATTCTCAAACCAACCAAGCCGATAGAGAACGAGCGCCCCCCATGTGTGGACGTCGAACTGGTGCCGCGGCCAGCAACCCACACGCGTCTCTTCACAGCCCTCTACTATGTCACAGTAGCCACCATGGTTGCCATGGTATCCGTCGAGATAGCCCTGCTGTCAAACAAGGACGTCGGCATCGGCCTGGTGCCTTTCAGCTATGTGGGACTCATTGCGGTGTTGGCGAATAGACTGCAATGGAAGACGAGGGGCGCGCGTGCGGCAAACGTGGGCTTCTGGATGCTGCTGGGAATCGCCTTGACATTGAAGGTGGCAGCGGCAGTCATCGAGAGCGACAGAGCAGCCGAAGGCGGGGGTGAGAAATCGAGGACATATCCGGGCGACGATGGGATCGTTGTCGTTAGCGTCATGGCGGGATCGTCGTTCGCTCTGGCGGTGCTGGAGTTCGCCGGCTGGACTGGGCTTGAGCGAACGGCATGAGGGAGGGGCTGCTGTTGTTTGAGATACCCGAGTTCAATGGAACAAGCAATGCGTGATGAAGTGTCCTTGAATGTATGTACGAGAACGAGGAGAGTCAGAGGCGAGTCAGAGGCAGCCCAGATCCTTGCGTCGATCGCGGGCGGCGGGCGGCCACAGGCGGCAGAACCAGGGCCGCCCAAAAAAGTTCCGCGGAGCGCCCACTGCAGCTGCCCGTCGCAACAACTGCTCGAGACCAGAACTTCCGTCAAGATGGGAAAGCGCAAAGTCGGTGCGCTCGAGAAGGTCGAGGCCGATTTGTACGTCCAGCCCTCCAGCCTACATTGTCTCCCGCTGACCACCCTGCAGGGCCAACCTACAGTACAAAGTTCGCCGCGATCCAAGGTACCCGTGTCTCCGCCGCACCAGGCTCGCAACACGCTGACGAGCCCCTAGCTCCTATGAAGATGATTTCCGCCGCCAGTACAACCAATACGAGGTCTTTCGCGATGTTTTCATGCAAGATCCAACCTCGCGCGACGAGAATGGGCTGGTGTCTTTGCGCGACCACGTCGACTTCGTCTCGCACTGCGCCGATTGCTACCCCAAACTGACCGCTGCCCTTCCGGATGACCTGATCAACCTCCTCACTACACATCACGCTGTTCTGGAGGCCGAGCTGCGCGACAAGCTTGTTGGGAGTCTGGTGCTCCTCCGGAACAGAGATGTGATTGACTCTCCACGGTAAGCCATCGCTGAGCGCACCCCGCCTTGCGAGCCGCTGGCTGATGTGTGAACAGCCTACTCAACACTCTCTTTCCCATCCTCGTCTCCACTCCCAGTAAGACCTTCCGCAGTCTGCTCTTCTCCAAGATCCTCTCCGACCTTCGCTCGTCCAACGCGAAAACCACAAACCATCGTCTGAACAGGACTATGCAGACGGTCCTTTTCAACCTTCTCACATCCGACCGCACCTCTCCGAAGGGCTTGTGGGCCGTGAAGATCACGCGCGAGCTGTGGAAAAGGCAAATTTGGACAGACGCCAAGACTGTCGAGATCATGAAGGAGGCTGCTTTGTCGGAAAACGAGAAAGTCATCATCGGCGGCGTTCGCTTCTTCCTGGGAGGCGACAAGGAGCGCGAGGAGGCGGCAGAGGATGAGAGCAGTGACGAGGAGATTGACATGGGGAAGCTGAAGCATCAGGCCGGAATCAACAAGAAGACGAAGAAGAAGGAAAAGGAACTCAAAAAGGCCGCCGCCATGGTGAAGAAGGCATGTTCAATGCCCTGCGGCTCGACTATACTCGAGACTAACAATGTCTACAGAAAGAGCGCAAGAAGAAGTCTCCTCACCCGCTCAACTTTTCGGCTCTGCACCTTTTACACGACCCGCAAGGTTTCGCCGAGGCACTGTTCAACAGACATCTTCAGAATTCAAAGTCGAAGCTGAACCTTGAGCAAAAGCTTCATGTTCTTAACCTTGTCTCTCGTCTTGTGGGGCTGCATCAGTTGTTCGTCATCAGCCTCTACTCCTATTTCCTGAAGTACGCTCCCTAAATTTTGTCCTTTGATCGGCTGCAGCTGACCTTTGCCAGATTTCTCACCCCAAAGCAACCTTCGGTCACGTCATTCCTCGCTGCCCTTGCTCAAGCCACTCATTCATTAGTCCCGCCCGATGTCCTGGAGCCTCTTGTCACCAAGATTGCGAATGAATTTGTCTCCGAGGCGGCAGCAGCTGAGGTTGCCTCGGCCGGCCTCAACGCCATTCGCGAAATTTGCGTGCGCCAACCTCTCGCAATGAACGACACTCTACTGCAAGATTTGGTCATGTATCGCAAGAGCAAGGACAAGGGCGTTATGATGGCAGCCAAGGGTCTTCTTAGCTTGTACAGAGAAGTCGGTGCGGAAATGCTGAAGAAGCGAGACCGTGGCAAGGAAGCTGCCATGGGCTTGCGGACTGGTGACCGTAAGGAGAGGCGCTACGGTGAAGTTGACGTTGGGGGAGGCTTCGAAGGGCTTGAGCTTCTTGAAAAGTGGAGGGAAGAGGAGCGACGAAAGAAGCGGGTGGAGCAGGGGCTGGATCCAGATGGTCCTGACGATGGGAATGGGGCTGAGGAGGAAGACTGGGACAACTGGGACGTCGAGTCAGATTCGGACAGCGACGACTCGGGTGGCTGGATCAACGTCGAGCAGGATGGCGAGGACATCGAAATCAGCGACAGCGAGGACGAGAAGCCACCCGCAAAGAAGGCAAAGAAGGAAACGGGTGGCGACGAGAGTGCGGAGAAGACGGAGAAGGACCCAGAGGCCGAGGCGAAGGCTGCAAAGGAGAAGGAGGAGGCGGCCTGGAAGCTCGCTACAACGCGCATCTTGACGCCGGCTGACCTGCAGAAGCTCCAGGAGCTGCGGTTACAAGCTCAAGTCAACTCTCATCTCCCGGCACATCGTCGCGCCAATGCAGCAGCGAAGAGCTCCGACGATCCGCTGACGGCAGAGGAAATCGAAGGCCTCGCCATGCTGTCGCATCGCAAGACGAAGGAGGAGAAAGTTGCGAGGGCTAGAGAGGACAAGCCGGACAGGCACCAGTCGACTACGGCCAAGCGCAAGGAAAAGAAGGTTGCAGAGGGCAAGAGCACGACGAACAAGGAAAAGGCACGGCAGAAGAACTTCATGATGACGCTTGGCAAGGCCAAGTCGAAGAACAAGCGCAGCCTGACAGACGTGCGGAAAAGTCTCAAGGGACATCTCGACCGGCAAAAGCGCGGCGGCAAGCGGGGCAACTATTCATCATGATCGGCAGGGCCTTGGGAAAGTGGGTAGGGAGTTGAAGTAGTAGTTCATCAATGTTAATGTTGATACCCTTCCGGGTGGGGCCGTGTGCGGAACAGAGGGCGGCGTCAGCAGGCTGTGATTGGCTGGCTGCATCTGAGATATGCGGAGACACGGACTGGCCCGCGCAGGGGAATTCGTCATGACGCAACTGGTGCTCCAGACTTGACACAGAACGCACCCCATGTGAAGGCTGACGTTGACTGTCATCAGCAATGCACGCCGGCGAACGCGTGGATGGACACAGGGCTGTGCAAGCGTTTGAGACCGAAGTGGGCTTAGCCTGCGCTCGTATATACCTAGCCTGTGGCTGCTGTCCCTGCCTGGGGAAATAACCTACTATTTCCATCCCAACCTTCGCAATCTTATCACAACCACACGGCTGGATATGGCATCACGACTCAAGGACGCCTTTGCCAGGGCATCGCCCTTCTCGCGATCCAAGCCCAAGGCCACGGTCGCCGAGACGGCCGCCACGCCAGCCAACATCAGCTCCGACGCAACCTTCTCCGCAGCCCACTCCAGGGCGGGCTTCATCGCCGACGAACCCTCCGCGGCGGCGGCGTCTCGGACCGCGAGCTCGGCAACCACAAGCCCCCGCAGCAGCTCCTCCTACACCACCGCCACGAGCACCACCAACACATCCTCCTCTGCCGCCGCCGCCACGGTGCGGGAGCCGGTGGTCGTCGACCGGGAGGCCGAGCCAGAGCCAGAGCCAGAGCCAGAGCCAGAACCAGAACCAGAACCAGAACCAGAACCAGAAGCGCCGCCGCCGCTGCCCCTCCACAGCCGCTACAAGCTGCACGTCACGGCCGGGCCGTCGTACGACCCGGCGTCGCACGCCACCGTCCGCGTCAACACGCCGCACACGGTGCTCGTCGCCAACGAGCACCTCACCGCGCGCGTCGCCGTGCGCATCCGCGACTTCTCCGGCCTGCCCGCCGCCTGCCCGGCGTCGTCGCCGTACTTTTCCGCGCCCCAGCACGCCCGCGACCGCTACAGCATCTCGTTTTCGTTCGTGCCCAAGCGCGACCTGTCCGGCGCCGATGCCGTGTGGGGCCCCGACTGCGCGAGGCCGGTGAGGGATCGGCTGCCTCCCGGGTTCAATGCGGCGGTCGGGATTGTGAAGAGGTTTGTTGATCCGAGTATTGAGGTGGATGCGTATGCGGATGAGCCGTGGGTGTATGCGCCGGCGTTGAGTTGCTGGTTCGTGTTGAGGGTGGGGGAGAAGGCGGGAGGAGGAGGAGGAGGAGGCGGAGGAGGCGGGGGAGCGGGAGGCGGGGAGCGGGAGGTGGTGGACGTGCCGCCGCCGCAGAGGACGGAGGAGCTGGACGAGGGCGAGGTGGTCAAGAAGGGGGCGGGGGTGTTGGAGGAGGGCGCGGACGGGGACGGGCAGCGCGTGCGGGAGGCGTGGGGGTGCCCGCCCGAGGCGGCCAAGAGGAGGAAGTGGTTTGTCAACGAGAAGCGGAGGGAGGGCGTAGTGTTCGAGAAGGGCAGGCTGTACCAGGCGGATTTCTTCAATCCCTATCTGGACTTTGACAGTAAGTGCATGCGGGGGCTGGACGCTTCCTCACTCTTCCCAGCTTTCGCTACGCGACTGGGATTTTTGTTCTTCTTTTCTAGTTGCATGCGCATTAGAGGGCGTGGGTGAGTGGAGTTTGATGCTGACGGATCATGCAGAATTCGCGCTGAAGCTACCAGGGTTCTCGCTCGGGGTGCTCAAGTACATTGACGAGAAGACGCACCAGCTCCGGTGGGTTTTCAAGAACAAGGTCACCGGTGAAGTATACTTTTGTGTTATTTTTAACCTGCTTTTTGGCGAAGAGCTAGAGGAAGCACTACGGGCGGAGAGAGCCGCGGAGCAGGAGCTCGATTGACGAGGCGTTGCATCGCCGGACGAGACTAGAGAAGAAATACCGATGATACCCTTTTTTGTCGTACTCTGCGTTGCCTCGGGAAGGACTAAAAAGAGACAAAGGAGGATGACCGCCGATCCTTTTTTTGCGCCCCCACCCGGGCAGACAGTAGTTAGGACAGATGCATTTTTGGTAAACGGGTCTCTGCTTACCCGGCCGATCGCAGGCCTCAATAGGGTATGCAGAAGCCCGGAAGAGCAAGGTTTCACAGGGGCCAACTGCGCACGCGATCCACATCAGGCGACAATGGTCTTCGGCGTGACGAATGAGAAACGCAGGGCAAACAATGACATCAGAAGAACAACCCAAAAGAGCCAGCACTGATTCAGGCCAAGAACTGCAATAGCTGCCTCGCGTAGACAATCTCCATTTCTTACTCCCCCAACGCTGCGGAATAGCCAACAGCCCAACATCTAACAGTAGCCAACCGCTCCCCATGTCCATGCCCCGATTCCACCTTGGCCGCAGGAACTCTTTTTAGAGCCAAGCTGTGTGGGGCTGCCGACGCAAATAGCGGCTCAGGTGTGCCAGCCCTTTGACTGTATTTGGAACCCCCCCAGCAGCACGAGCCTCTCGTCTCACCAACTCGTCCCCACGCTCTTCCCCGTCGATCGAGCAAACTCCATCGCACCCGGCGGTCCGGTGCAAAGAAAGAGGCCTTTGCAGCAATCCATGCCATGCTTACGGCGCCGACCCCATGGAACGGTGGAATTCTGACTCCGCTGGCAAACAAGGAAAAAGGGTCGGGATCATCTCCGCATCCGCGCGGGCTTATGATGTGGCAGGGCATTGGCGAGCTTCGGGTGGCACTGGCAACTTTTGCGAGCTCTAGTGTGTTTTCGGGGAGAGGTCTTGGTTTCTTGACTACTTCGCGTGGCGGCGGGTTCATGGTCCATGCATTCGTTACTGCGTGCAGTAGCTCGACAATGTGGATTATCGCAGAAGGCTTAGCGGTGGGGGGGGGTTCTCCAACCATTGGATGGTCGTATCGGAGAGCAAGTGGCTCCCAATTATCGCCCGTGATCGGGGATACATCTCGATCTACCATCGGGACGACGGCCGTTAGCATCGAATTGATGAGAGTCCCGCCTGGTGAGAAATTTGAAAGACGAGACTGATGATTGAAGAAATGGGTATAGAGCCATAGACGAAGAACGGAAGTAAGATCATGGTCGTCGCCAACTCACATCTAGAGTTCAAGGTGTTCTCAAAGAACCAAACAGGCCGATCTTCTAAACCGCCACGGCGTGGCCGTGAGACTGATATCTCGGTGATTGCATTCCAGCAAGACCTCCCGTGCTCGCCTTCAGTCCCCTTCCAGCCGCCAGTCGAGCTCCGGCTCGTAGAACTTCCGCATGCTCTTCGTCACCGACCTATTCCCGCTCCGCACCGTCTGCGTCCCATACTCGATCCCCTCCATCTCCCCATCCTCTTCCGCCCCCGACTCCCCCGCACCGCCCTGCATCATCCTGCCCGCCAACTTGCCCGCAAACGCCTCGTCCACATGGCCCCTCACATCGACCAGCCTCACGCCCCTGAGGTCGGCCAGCGGCTCCAGGACGAACTGCCACTGGCGGGCGACGGCGTCGTTCTTCTCGGGCAAGAACTCCCAGAAGACGGTGTGGGTGAAGCTGGGGAAGCCGGCGTAGCGGAAGGAGCCGGCGACGAGCTCGACGCGCAGCTCGCGGAGGCAGCAGCACGTTGCCGAGCCGCGCGGGGCGGCGGCGCCCGACAGGCGGTCGACGAGCTCGCGCAGCCAGGCCCGCACGCGGCGGAACGGCTCCGGGCGCGCGAGGTCCTCCTCGATGCGCAGGCTGAGCGTGCGCATGCGCCGCAGCGCCGCGCCCGAGATGCCCGCCGTCTTGAGCGTGTTGATGGGCAGCCCGCGCGCGTGCGGCGTGTTCAGCGCGCTCAGCCCGCCCTCGCCCGCCGCCGCCGCTCCCCCCTCGCCGCGGTCCGCCGTGGGGGACGAGATGGCGTCGCCGTCGTCGTCCTGCTCCTCCTCCCCGTCGTGGGTGCCTGCTGCTGCTGCTGCTGCCGGCGGCGGGGGAGGAGGGGTGAAGGCCCACACGCGCTCGCGGCTCGTCAGCGTGAAGTGGAAGGCGTTGCCGCCGTACAGGGCGTCGGCACCCTCGTCGTGCAGCTGGCGGCAGGTGCGCAGCAGGGCGGTCCAGATGCCGATGCTGGCCCAGACGCCGGGGATGTGCACGGCGTGCGAGGCCACGGGGGCGTTTGTGGCCGGATGCTTGCGGGTCAGAGGGTGGAAGGTGATGTCGTGTGCGTGGGGGAGGAGGTAAGAGTAAATCAAAAGGCGGATCTCCGAGGGGAGGCGGAGGAGGGGCGATTGGCGCTGGTCGGTGTAAGGGTGGGTGGTGAGGAGGAGGCCTTCATCTTTCTGTTGTTGACAGTTGTTTGCCAACAGTGCTCCGGAACAGGCGGCAGCAACGGCGGCGGCGCGGTTTTTGGAGTGGATCTTTTGCCTTGTTGCTGGGCGCCGTTGCTGCCTCGCCAGCAGGCCGGATTTCGGGAGCGGAGTGGGGGAGGACATCAACGGAGTTACATGCCAGGCGCGTCATCAACGCATGCAGCAGCACCGCATCCAAGCTGCGCGTTCGGAGGGGAGAGGATAGAGGACAGATCAGAGGCGCGGTCGAATTTCCGTGTTCGTGGTGGTGGTGGTGGGAGGGTTAATGGGTGCAACGCAGAGGTTGAAGATTGGTGGGGGAGCAGCGCGGGGCGAGGCTAGATGATGTGTGACGGGCTGGATGAGGTCGGGGCACAGAGGCTACGGTGCGGCGGGGAGGCGAATGTTTTTTGAGCACCGGCAGAGGGTGCTTGCAAATCCTGCGGCTTGACGCCACGGCGCGGACGCCAATCAAGGGTGGTGTGGAGAGGGTGGTTGCAAGGCCGGGGCGCCGCAGCGTCGGGCACGCGCGCCGTCGCCATCAAGCCAACAACACCATCGACGCCGCCGACCCCCGGCTGGTCGGCAACGCGCGGCAGCCCGCGGCCGCCATCGAACAAAGCCGGATCGGGCAGGCAGCCCCCGCGTCGCACGTGGCCCCGCGCGCCGCCGGAGTGGCGCTCGACAGGAGGGAGCCAGGCCAGACAGGCCAGACAGGCCAGACAGGCCAGACAGGCCAGACGGGCCCTCGCACAGCCGCCCGCTGATGCACGCCGTGACTCCTCTCCAACCCGCCCCCGCGGCCCACCGCTGCCCAGCGCTGCTGCGAGCCATCGCCGACGCGCGCCATCGCCCCCAGCTGCACCCTGGCCGTGTGTTGTCTGTGTGGGCGCTGCCCCTGCCTCAGGTACGGCTGACGGCAGGGCGGGCAGGGCGGGTCTTGCACCACCAGCCTCGATGCATGCGCCGCGCTGCACGCGAGGCAGCAGCAGCGCAGCAGCAGCACGCACGACGGACGGTTCCCATGCAGTTGCTGCAGTCGCCGGTGCCGCCGCCCAGGTAACCGCTCTTCGTCATGGTCTGAGCCTGGCCCGCCTTGGCACCGGCCAGGCGACGCAGCCTTCTGCTCATCGCGCGGCAACGCTGCGTCAAGGATGCTCCAGGATGCGCGCTGCTCCAGGACGGAACCACGCTGGGATCGAAGATCGCGCCGGGCTGTGGCTGCTGTACCTGGCCCGTCGTTCCGCCTGCTCGGCGGTTGGCTCTGTGGCTCCCTCTGCCTTATCACCTAGCAACTACATGGCTAGCGGGTGCAGCGCGGAAGAGCCGGGGCGGACAGGGTGGACAGGGCATTGGCTGCAGACGACGGCGGTGGAGAATCATCAGCATCCCTCGCTGCCTCCCTGTTTCTGCCTAGAAGCCCGTGAAGCCTGCCCTCCTGCCCGTCGACGTCACAGGAGCGCTCTCCGCCATGGGGAGCCGTTGGGAACGGAGACATTGTGGTAGCGTTTCTGCGCCAACTGCCGTTAGTCGACCAGCAAACGCTTTTATGACGGAGCCATCAACAGCGGAATGCTAGCCAGCCACGCGAGCGCTTGCAATATCTCCGCAACCGTTGGCCGTTGGTCGCCGGATTGGCCTCCATCCAATGGTCTCGTGCTGACGCCAAAGTCCCTAGTGTAGGACCATGTACTGACCTCCAGGCTCGCCTGAACTGTTTCAGGATCCGGTAGTGTTCCGCTTACCTGGGCACTTTCTTTTTCCTCTCATTAGCTCTTACACAGCACTCTGGTGATCGGCCGGGGGCGGGAGGAGCAGGGAACCACTCCGTCGGGTTCGTTGCCGACGACGTGCGCTCATGGCCTTTGGGCAGGTGCTGCTGCATCCCATTCCCACTAGCAATCCGCAAGGGCTGATGCCGCCATCCGCAAAAAAATGCCACGGCTCCCATTGGCGGGTGCTCGCGGCCGTTCGACGCGCTGCTGATAACGAGGCCTGACGCCATTGATGGAATACTATCGACTTTTTGTAGCGAAGCGAAAAGGCAACCTCCCCAGACCGTCTTTCTTCACTACTGCTGTTGGCCCCCTCCGTCGTCACGCCCCTGTCCTGCACAGCCGGCCGTTCTCGTTCGGCAGCCCGTCGACGCTATCCACCGCCCACGCGTCGCTGCCGACGGCCGTCGCCGCCCAGAAGACGTCGTCCGGGTCGACCTGCTTCTTGATGCCGAGCAGGCGCTCGTAATTGGCCTCGCCGTAGAACGACTGCTTCCACCCGCTCTCCATGCGGTTGCTCTCGCCCAGGTAGCAGCCCGCGCCCGGGCTGACGTCGATCCAGCGCTGCATGGCGACGTCGTTGAACCAGGTGCGCCGCTCCATGATGTAGTCGCGGGTGCTGTTGTTCTGCCAGTTGACGCTCTGCAGCGCGTGCATCACCGTCTTGCGCCACGCCGGGTTGACGCTGTTCTCGGCGTTGCCCGCGTGCAGCCGGGGCGCCATGTTGAAGGCGATGATTGTGTTGCCCGCGTCCGACGACGCCCGGAGCGCGTCAAACGTCGCGTTGAGCGTGCTCTCGTCGTCCCACGCGCTGCGCGGGAACAGGCGCGACCCCGTCGCCACATGCGTCTTCTGCACCACCTCCAGCGGGAACTCGCCCTGCCACGCCTCGTAGAAGCTGTCGTAGTGCGTCGTGCGCGGCGCGAAGCCGATGCCCAGCGCCGCGAGGTCCGCGAACCACGGCGCGAGGATGGCCTGCGTCTGCTCGAGCGTCTTGTTCGGCGCGAAGAAGGGCTGCATCAGGAACTGCTTGACCCCGCCGCCCAGCTGGATGATGAACCAGTAGCTGTACGTCTGCTGCTCCTCCGCGTTTTCCGGGAAGTAGTCGAGGTAGGCGCGCACCCCCGCCCAGAACGTCTCGTTGCTGATGTTGGCCGACGTCCAGGAGAACTTGGACGCTGTGACCTGCATTTCCGGCCACGCCTTGACCGTCGTCGACGTCGCGATGCCGTAGGTTGCGCCGCCGCCGCCCTTGAGCGCCCAGAAGAGGTCCGGGTTCTCGCTGGCCGACGCGGTGACGAAGGTGCCGTTCGCCAGCACCACCTCCATCGAGAGGACATGATCGGCCGCCATGCCGTACAGAGAGCTGAGGGGCGAGTGTCCGCCGCCCTGGATGTAACCACCCATCACACCGACAGTCTTCGTCAGGTGTCAGCCTTTGGTACATACAAACGTCTGGACTGCAAGCACTTACCTGGCCCTCACCGCCAACCACCACCTTGCCCTCGGCGGCGGCAGCCTTGTAAACCTCCCAAGCGCGCACGCCAGCGCCGACCTTGAACGCCGGGCCCGAGTAGCCCGTGCCTTCGTCGACGTAGTTCTCCTCGTACGCGGTACCCTTGAGGTTCTTGGTCCAGACGGACAAGGCGCCGGCGCCGCCAGACTTGCCGGAGAAGTCGTGCCCGGTGTTCTTGATGACGAACCGGACGCCCGTCTCGCCGGCGAATTTGACGGCCGCCTGGATCTGCTTGACGGTGGTGGCCGCCACGGCGTACGCCGGGTAGCCGCCCAGCGTACAGTTCCCCGAGTTGATGCCGCCTTCGTATAGCGTCGGAGGCTGACACGTCAGGCCCTGGTAGACAGGGCTGAGCATCTCAATGGGGTCATCGTCACTGGACAAAAGACTTGTCAGTCACTTGACCTCCACATGGGAGAAACTAGCGTGCAAGCTCGCATGCAAGGAGGGGGCACCGCTTACTGGATGTACGAATTCGTCCAATTGGCAGTGATGGTGGCGCACGCCGCCTCGTCGTAATACGGTCCCTCGTAGCAGACGCTGGCGTGCGGCACGGACTTGATCAAGGCGCCGTCGAGAGTGTCGTTGAGGGCGGCCCACTGACTCTCGGACGGCCAAGCAGCGTCGCCGGGAAAGACCTTGCACGAGGCGTCGGCGGCGCGACGGGACGGGCCATGATCGAGGGCGCGGACGCTGTGCGATCCCACGCCGGCGTCTGCGAGCCGGATCTTCTCCCAGTCGAAGAGGTCAATGGTGGCGTGGACCGCAGGGCTGGCGGCAAGCAGCAGCACGCAGCCCAACTGGGAAAGACGAGGGCGCATCATGTAGGGGACTGGCGTGCGAGGATCCGATACGCGAGAGAAACAGCTCGTGCCTTGGGTACGATTTCGGCACGGCAGGGGTTAATGCTCCTACTTCCTGCACGTGGTGGCTGATCACAAAGGTAAACGAACGTCGGGTGGAAGCAAGAGAACGACACTGGCAGCAGCCGCAGGAGAAGGGAAAAAGAGACCAGAGCGCCCGGCACATTCGCAGCCTTATGACACTGTGTCCCTCACACTAGGAAGTGAGCGCAATTTGGATTGCCCAGGCCATGTTACCATATGAGGCGGATACTGCCGTGCCGCAAGAGCATGGCATCAGCGACGAAGGACTGCGCCGCGCTGGATAGACGGCATATCGGCTGGGCCTGGGTTTCTCCGGTGCGTGCCGGCATGTCGGATGCGAGTCAACCGAGAGATTGGATGGCGTCGAGGAGAGATCACTGCTGCTCACGGCCTAGCAGCCGGCACCGGGCGATTGGCAGCGCCGAGGTGCGGGTGAGGCTGAGCGGCCGACGTCTACCGGGCATGTATTAAGGTACGAGCCTCGAGGAGGGCTCTTCAGGCGGACCGGCACGGCATGTGAGACGGCTCGCTTGGATGGGCGCGTGGCCGTCAATTTATCCTCGTCGCTGGCGGCGCGGCAAAGCCCCAGACGGACAGGGAGAGGCCACGACAATGCTCGACTCGTGCTGATCTCCGCCGGGACAGGCAAAACAAGCGGCCCCACTGCCGCCCGCGTGCACCGCCCAAATCCCGCGCCGGCATAGTGGGCCAAGCCCGGCTTGCGGCCGGTTGTCGCTTTTTGTATATGGCTCCCGGCCCGCCCAGGAGGAAAGTGTTTGAGCGAAGTCCGTGGGGGAGCAATCGGGCCTGCCCAATTACGCTTGCGGGGTGGATGGGTGACCGGGTATTAGCTGCTCCACTCTGGCGGTGGTAGCTCCGGCGCCTCCGACTCAGCTGGCTTGAATCAGTCCAGCAAAGGCCCCCTTCGTTTCCGTGGCACTGCGTGCGAGAGCTGGAAGCCTTCCCGCAAGGAGGCCAGTCCAACTGGTGCCAATACGAGCAACCCTCGCTTAGTCTGCTGATCGGCTGCGCATATTCCTGTTCGAATCACAGGAAACAGCCGACCAGAGTCAGGGAACGCAGAATGTGCGCCTGGGAGCCATGCGTTCATCGCGAGGGAAACGCAAGCCTTCTTACGTGAACAGAGCGAGCCGCAGCTTGTGCAGGTACACAGTAGTTGTGTCGGGCGTGAACTGTCCTGCTTCTTCACCCAGCCAGCGCCCTCGCCTGCCGCAAAGTCTGAACGTCGATCTTTCGCACCTTCACGGCAGTCTCTTTCTGATTTGCTTTTTGGCCCCGCCCGGCGCGGCATGTTCGTCGAGGATGAGTGATCCCTCTAGCCTGGCTGAATCAAAGCGAGCCCACACATCCGCATATGTGGTCATCGCCGTCTTCCCCGTTCTTTCCACCATAGTCGTGGGGATGAGGATTGTGTCCAAATATCTTTCGCGACTATTAGGAGCAGGTACGTCTTTGTTAAGGTTCGGCTTGATGAGACGGTCAGCGTTCCCGCATCACTGGCGCGCGAGCGGGGCCACCGATCGCCGGTCGGAGAGGAGGACTATTGGATGCCAATGAAGACTGACCGCTTTGACAGACGACATTGTGATACTTGTTGCCTGGGTAAGCAGTCCTCGAGCGCACTGCTTCGTATATTCGATGCTGATCCATTTCCCGCCAGGCGCTGGCCATTGGTCAAACATATGCAGTATGGATGTGTGAGTGCAGAAAACCCCCTTTCCTTATTCGGCTCCCAGAACCGTCATCCACGGGTCATTGAGACAACGCCTGCGACACGCTTGTCTCTATAAAGATTGAGACTATATGTCGCTTGTTGCCGGCCCGCTCGAATCCTGCAGAATGCTTACGCTGTCAATCCGCAATGGCTAGCGCACATGCTGACCGCAACCCCAGATACCAAGGTCACTTTGCAAGGCTATCATGTTGTCGACATTCCAAAGATGTCGGTTGAAAGACAAATCCTCGGGCAGCGCTACAACCTTGCGAACCAGCTGTTGTACCACCCGGTCCTGTCCATCGTCAAGATGTCCGTGATCCTGTTCATGCTTCGAATCGACGACAAGCGCCGGCGAGTCGATTGGTCTTTGAAGGGTCTGATGATATTCAACGTCCTTCTCATGGTCAGCACCTTCCTGGCCGATCTGTTCCAATGCACGCCGTGGCACTACACTTTCGACTATCCAGCCATGGACTTGGCAGCCCAGAAGGCCGCCGGCGCCGATGAAGAAGGAATGTTGAATGGCAAGGAGATCACGGGTGGGTACTGCATTGATCAAGTTGGCTTCTTCCTTGCTGCCGCGGGACTGGCTGTCTTGACGGACGTCCTGGTGTTGATCATTCCCATGATCATGGTCAAGGACCTGCAGATGCGGAAAAAAAGGAAGGTCGTGGTGTGGGCAATCCTGTCGATCGGGTGGATGTAAGCAAACCCCGCTTCTCCCGTGGGAGAGCATTGTCGCTAACGTTGACTTTGCCGTTAGCGTCACGGCTGTCAGTATTGCCCGTTTGGGCATCTACGCTCACCGATTCAGTCCGAACAACAAGGACCGCAGCTATGGAATCGGATACACCATCTCCGGAGTCGAAATCAACCTGGCCATCATCGCAGCTTGCGCACCGGCCATGAACGGACTGACGAGACGGGTGGTGCCAAATTTCCTTTCCTCCGGAAGGTCCAAATCGTTCAGCAGGAATAAAAGCGGTTCCTCCTGCAAGTTGAACAGTCGCTCCATTCCCCTGAACTCGAGAGAGCTACAGCAACGGGGGGGAGTCGACCATAAAAACAGCTTCACAGACAAGGAGAGGGAATACCGGATACACAACATGTCATTGGGTGTTCCTGATGGCTGGGACAGCGAGGAGAGGATGGTAAGGCCTCTGGAAAGTACCAAATCGAGCCAGGATGGAGACATCGACATACCGCTCACTCCGGTTCATCCACCGGAAGACGGTATCATCCGGACCGTCAACTATACAGTACGGGTCCAAAACTCCACGGAGCTCAGGGGCTGAACGGACAGGCTGGTTCCTGAGGGTTTTTCTGGCGTTGTGGCTGCTTGTGTGCAATAGACGTAGCGATATCCCAAAGTCCGGTTGTCTCTTTCCGCGGCTGCATGAGCGGGATTGATGTAATGAACGTTTCCTTTGTTCTTTGAGTATGTCATATTTGGGCGATTGCCACGCATGGGTCCAGAAAAGCGTAACGGTTTGGTGAAGCGTGTCCTCGTTGGTGTACACGGTCAAGGAGCCTCGTCCGACCCATGACAGTAGGTTGCAGGAAAGCGCGATGAGATTATGACCGATTGCTATTATTTGTGGCTCTAGATTGTCTCTGCATACTGAAATGAATCGCGGTTGCAGACAAGACTGACTGACATGCGTTGTGGTAAAAGTCGGCATTTCTCAAACCTTGGGCCTTATTTCAACAAACAGCGCCTCGCCGATGGCATAAATTTGACCAGTTCCGTCTTCGAGGGTGCCGCGCAAGTAGAACTTCCTCCCATCGACTCTTGTGATTTTGGCGGTGCCGAGAATGACACCGGGAAGGGGCAACGGGTTCTTGTAGGACACATTGAGATAAGCGGTCATGGCATTGAGAGGTTTGTGGACGCCTGACATCCGGTTGCGGTGGTCAACGTTGATATTGAGAAGCTGGCCAGTGAGCTCGTCCATGAGAGCGGCGGTCATACCGCCGTGCATGGTGGCGGGATAGCCATTCAGGCCGTCGCCGATATCGAGGAAGGAGCGCACTTCGGCAATGGCAGGCCAGCTATTTTCCTGCGGTATACTGTGCTGGGTGACCCAGTTGCGGATGGTCCTCTCGGTATTGAGAGCTTCGGCAATGAACGAGTCCTCTCCGGAAGCCTTCGGCGTGCGCGAGCTGGTGGGGACGACGACGAAATTCTCATCGGCGAGGAGCGCAGCAGCCCAGGGGATTTCCCGGAAGCGGTCGGTATTTCTCAGCGACATGGTGGTGGCTGTGAGACTCTCGGTAGATAGTGAGTGAGGTACAAGCTGCTAGTGAAGGGCAGGCTGGCCGCCGGACTCGAGGGCGCGGACGCGACATGATCGAGTCACCATAGCCGAGGTGCAATGAACCCGCGGCTGCGCCGGACAGAACGGGGGCGCCCTCTTCATCGCAACTCGCGCAATGCGCAGGCCTGTGGACGGTGTCGTGCCCTCTGGCGGGGTGGGATGACGGGGCGGCGGGCTTTGGGCGCGAGCTGATCGGAAGCTCAACCACCATTCAGCGCCTTGCTGATTCTCCACATCTCGCTCCAGAACCATGCGCCGAGCACCCTCACTCCCTCACTCCCGCATCGCGCACCGGCCATGTCTGGCCGCTCCTCCGCCATGTCTGGCTCGTCGTCCGGCTCGTCCGCACTGAAACCCGCGCCTCTGGCCCCGTCCGCAACCCCGCCGCCTGCGGTTGATGTCGCCATGGCCGACGCCGCCCCCGCCAGCGACGCGCCACCTCACGAGCCTCTCCCCAGCGCATTGCACCGCCTGCCGCCCGAGCTGCGCGAGCGCATCTACGAACATGCCCTGCGATCGCACACCACCATCTGGTGGCCGCCTGCCACGTCGAGCCTGCCCGGCATCGCGACCCAGCTGCTCACCACCAGCCGCACCATATACCAGGAAGCCGCCCCGATCCTGTACGCCGCGAACCGCCTGATGTTCACGCACCCCTCCGACGCCAACATGTTCGCCCACATATTCTCGCTGCAGCACGCGCGCCTGGTGACGTCCGTGTGCCTGCGCATCCGGGACCGCGACGTGCGGCTGTGGTCGGCCTACCTCAGCAGCACCTCGCCCTCGCGCAGCCTGGCCGCCGACTTCCCGCGCCTCAAGTCGCTGTGGGTCTTTTACCGCAGCAACTTCTGGTCCCCCCGCGCCATCGACATCATCGAGTCCTTCTACCGCTGGCTCGACGACCCCGCCCTGCGCGAGATCTGCCTCAACCTCGAGGAGCGCGTGCCCGCCGGCGTCGACGTCAAGCTCGTCTGCGTCCACCGCGTCCCGCGCGAGCACATCAACACCCTGACCCACAACCTGCCCAACGAGTTCCAGATCAACAAGGGCGGCAGCGGCGAGGCGAGGACGGCGTTCCGCCCCTACGACCAGCGCATGGAGAAGTCCATCCAGGTCGCCCTGGAGCTGACCCCCGTCGAGCCGCAAATGATATATAATTGATGTCCCTGGTAATGGCATGCATGAAGGGCGGCGTTCTGGCGAGGGCGAACATCTGCATAATCATGGTGTAGACAGGCGGTGTTTTGTTCGACAAAAGAGCCCTTCGTGCCTCGGTTTTCTCCTCTTTCGTTTTCTTCGGTATTGCTTTCCGGTCCCCATATTAGGTATGGCGACTCAAGCTCCTTCACATTTGCTCTGTGGGCCTAGGCGTTTGATATCTGGGGGGCAAAAAAAACACCAGGGGTTCTTCTCCTCGCTGGCGGCCATGAGAGACCGCTGGCCATTTGTTTCTTTTGCAAACATATAGACGGACATGGCTTCTTACTTTCTCGGGTTAATCATGGTCAACGAAATCGGGAAACATGGCGAGGCCTTTGGCAGATTTCTCGCGTGTTTTCGCTACTCAGTGCTTTTCCAATCTCGCAAATCAGTCCATCATCTGAAAACCAGCAGTTAATATGATCGCACCACCACTAATTCAGATTAATCAAACAGAGCAGATTGACACAGGAAACAGCTTGATCAATCGAAATGCACACGAGACTCGAGACAGCCACTTACCGCCTTCCAATAGGCGCCCAACGCCACTCGAGCGGTCAACCTCCGGATTCATACATATCTTCGTATCGGTGGCGAAAAGTTCCAGCCAGCGCCATCTTATCCGGTCCTTCGAGCCACTTCTGGCAGCAATGCCGTTTTCCCACAGCGTCTGGTCCCGCCTCCGGTCGTGCTCTCGCATGCACAACATCATGCATGTCATTGGCTGGAGGTGGCACAGCGGATGCTTGTTTCAACCTCCACCATCGCAGGAAAGGTACACATCATCTAGAGTTATATCGACAGCAGACCTACAGTGCGTCCTGGACGGGTGGTTTTTTTTTTTTTTTTTTTTGGGAGAAAGACACTTTGAAACGATGCCACTATCCCTTGCTGCTCCAGATTGATTGCAAAATGAGCTCGGTCAGCTGTTGTTATGACTGTCCTGTCGTGACAAGATGTCCCTTATCTGTCTGTCCAGCTGGCAGGCGCCCAGGCGCTGAGGCTCCGTCAAGAGTTGATCTCTTTTTCGTGAAATTTGGGGGATTTGTTCAACCATCAAGTGCATCTCGAGGGGTCGATGTCACGGGCGCACCCAAAGGCGCTCGGTCACCGAGGATTTCTACGCGGTCGGACCAAAATCAACCAGGCAGAAGCCGCCCGCCTCGGACCATCAATGAATTGCCGGATCGGGGAATGCAATCGCGAAGGCCGTCGTTGTTGTGATTGCTAGCGAGCGATCGACCGTTCTCTCCGCAACGTGCACACGCGCCCACGCAAACCCCCACGGGCCGAGAATGACGTCTCTGCAAACCATCATCATCGTCATCGACACCGCACTTTTCTCAGCAGACCGCTTATCCAACGAGTGTCTCTCGGCCAACTTAGGTAGTTTATCAGCAAAGCAGCAGCCGCCCGGAAGGAAGGCCGGACACGAGGTGGTGCGCGGGTGCAGGTGTGTATTCGTGCCCAAAGCCGAAAGTCGGTGACCTCATCCGATCTGCGCCCAACGCCCGAAACAGCGTGCGATCGCGGGCCGTGTGAGAAAAGCTGTCGCCAGGAGATGGCACGCGAAGGGGACGTCATCAGCTGGACATTCGAGGAGGTTGGTTGGAGGGGAAGGAAAAAGGAGGTTTGCAACGGATCGGAGATGGAGGACTGATGACAGGAGCCGAAGTTCAGCCTGTTGCTGGAAGTCGACCGTCACCGTCGGATGTCCTGCGCCTCTTGCTGCTTTCTCGACTTGGCGCGTGGGGACTGGTAGATCCGACGGCCGCCTTGATTTGGCGACGTCGGGAACTTGGTTGCCCGGTTATCAGCACGCTGTGGTTCTGAAGAGCGGTGGTCCATCATGACATGGCATGACCATTACGTGTGATGTTTCCTGCCATCATGTTGGCTTACCCACGATGATGCAGTCGAGAAGAAGGGCCGGGTGAACATCCGATATCAGCGCCAGCCTCCGGCTTACCAGACGAGCGAGAGCGAAAAAGAAAAAAGAGCAGGGCGAAATGAAAAAGGGTCCACCACACCGTCAGGAACACCCGCCCAACCCGTCGGCCGAGTCCTTATCCCCAGGGTTCTCATCCTCCCGGACTCTACCAGGAAGCCGCCACGTACCTGGCACTAATGAGGCGTGGTCTCAGGTACCTTGACCGCCGAAGCGTCAGCATCCCACGCTGGTGAGGCAAGCAAAAAGGCGCACGACGTCGATAAGACACCTCATCCTAGGAAGCCTCACGGCCCGTAGTGCAGCCGGCACCATATGACTGGAAGAGGATGTGGGAACAGCGAAAGGAACGCAAAGGCCAATGACGCACGAGCAGCGAGAGAGCTTCTGGTGGGCTTCTCCCGCCTTCTTCGTCAGGCTCACCGTCCTTCTTCCCTGATCCCTCACACTGTTTACGGCGCACTGTGCCTGGGTTTGAGCCGCAAAGAGCAACGTGCCGGCGAGCCAAGGCCCAGACGGGGACCAGAAGAGTTTCTGGAAAGACGCTCGAGACAACATGTCCCGCAGGGATTCCCCAGCTTCGTGATAGCTGACCGCTAGGCTGATGACTGGCCAGCTGCCCAACACGACCCCGCGGTTTTGGATTGCAGCTGCACTGGCGGTGAACCCTGAGACGGTTGGCGCGAAGCGGTCTGCGTTGTCCAGCGCTTATCTCGGTGCTTCTCGAGCTTTCGTGGAGAAACAGCAGGACGAAGGGTCTTGCGGCTGTGCAACGGTGGCCGTTCTGAATCTCTATTTCGGATTAGAGTGCTTGGAAAAGGGCCGTTTGCCGCCTTTACCTTCCCCGCGCAAAGGGCGTCTAACCAGAGAGGCCGAGATAGAGGAAAGGGCTTTCCGGAAGGGCGAGTCTGGATCAAGGGCGACCTCTGGGTGGGAAGGAGGGGAAGCATGTGAGAGAGTGCGGACGAAGAGGAACACGCAGCAACAGCGCAAGCTGGCAGAGCACATCCGAGCGTCTTCGTCAGCCACGGGCTTTGACCACAAGAGCAACTGCCGCCCCGGGCGGATGTAGGTAGGTAGCATCTGTCGCCTGGAGCTGTGCTCGTTCCGATCGTGCGTCCATGCGCAGCACCGCTTCGTTCCGGAACCATGAGCTGATGAGAGAGAGCAAGCCAGGCCGGGCCCGAGCTTTCCAGTGATGCGCCACCCCGAGCGCAGCCCCGTTATTGCGCGCAGCCGCAGCAACAAAAAAAGCCCCGACGCCGATAGGCTGCCGTGCTCCCGTGGAGAAACTCTCATCCACGCGTTCTCCACACCGACGATGTTCATCAAAGATTCTCCGGGCCAGGACGTCACATGTGGCTGCGAGCCGGCCTGACTCGCGGCCAAGCGCGCCGCAGCAGCAGCAGCTCGTGTGCTGCCCCTCACCTGCGGCCTGCCCCTCACCAGCTGCTGTGCGCGCCCCTCATCGCCCGCGCCAATCCCCTCCTGTTGACTTGCAGCTCTCTCTCTCTCTCTCTATCTCTCTCACGCCTGAAGAGTGAAAAGCAAAAAAAAAAAAAAAACACCCTCTGCCCCTCCACCTACCTAGCCCAACCCCCACCACCACCACCACCGCACGGGCTCCCGCTAACTAACTACGCAACAATTGCTCTTTTTTTTTTTCCTCCCGTCGCACCCAACCCTGCACGCGTGCCGCGCGGGACAGCGCCGGATTTATTGCCCCGGCGCTTGCGGGAAAACGGGCACGAGTGTTGATGAAACAACGCGTCTCTGCTACCAGGTACGTCGTAGTAGTAGTTAGTGGGACGCGTCGTTTCCGCCCAGGTTGCGTGTGTTTCGGAAGCGCTCGGTCTTGCGGTCCTTGGACCGGTCGGGTGCCGACCTTCGTCCACCTACCGTATGCCCTTGCCTTGCTCGCCTTGCCTCGCCTTGCGGCAGATCTTCCCCTCCCCACCCAAAATAATTACTACTATCGCGTGCCACTTTCGGAGATGCGTTGCCGGGGGAAGGGGAGGAGGGGAGAGCAGCGCATTTTCTCGGCCGCAATAGCCGACCGCCCGTTGTTGGGAAGGCGGCCGGGCGTGCGTACCTAGGTAGTGTAGCGTGGTGCGCAGGCTGTCCAAACAATGGCCACCTGGTCAACAATGTACCGGTAGGTATAGTACCTAGGTAGCCCCGGGCATATTATTGTTTTCTCTCTCTCAACCGGCGCGCCCTGCATGGCGGGCTCCCCCCGGATGGCGGCGGAGACTTGGTGGAAGCGCCCTTGGCCCAATGTTGGGTCCCTCCTCCGCCTCGGCAAAAGGTCCCAGCCTAACGAGACGCGCGAACCGCAAAGCGAGGCTGCTGATGAAGCCTGATGTGAGACGAAGCGCACTGGCGCAGATCGCCCGCTACTGCAACCCTTCATGCATGTGACAAGCAGCTAGTCTCGGTGGTTTGAAGCATGTCGATATCGTTCTGATTTCTAGGAGTAATTGATACAGTTCTCATTACCCGTTGGCAACACCGCGTGAAGCGCTTTGCTCGTACATGAACGGTCCCATGACCTGCAGCATGAAAAAAACGAAATGAAAAAAGCATATTCTCAACGCCGAGAGCTGGTAGACCAGAGTACACGAGGGAGAAAACAGAAAGACCGGTGAACAAACGCCCCACCAACACCTATGCTCCATTCGGTAGTAGCCGAAGCAATTCGTACTCTGAAAACAAGTCGTCGGCCGTGGCAAGAAAGTGGTATCGACGGCCGGTAGCAGGAACCCAACAAACCGGTCTATGGAAAAGCGAGTCTAGAGGACGCAGCTGAAAAGATGATGGCGCTCAAAACGAAGCAATAATCGAAAGCAAATCATTATGCGGGGCCCGCGGCTATTGGAAGAAAGGGTGGTGCTCCAGGGCTCCGAGGGAGAAGAGAAGACCCGCCGCAGGCGAGAGCTGTCGCGTGGCCAATTGCCAGTGAGGATGCGCGGCCGGGGTCGAGAGGTCGCCGGCGACCATGCAGGCTTCGCCCTCGCTGCGCAACGGAGCCGGATCAAGCTCGGTCGTATTACGACGTTGGTAATTAAAACGAAGCCTCGGGGTCGCATCCAGGTCGGCCATTACGAGAGAGAATCGGCAAGGCCCGTCCACTAAAACGTGCTCCAATTCCAATCGCGGGGCACGCTGCCCACATAGCTGCCGACCTTGTGGGTTTGCGCATGGGCCTGCGCCACGCCGCGTGGCTGGGGAAGCAGCAGACCCTGAGGCTCTGCACGCGTCTGTGCAAACCCTCCAGCGGTGCTGCTGCTGCCCTGAGAGCTTGCGGAGTTGGTTCGGCTCTTGCGTGCCGCTTCCCATTGCCGGTACGCGGACCAGCAACTGTCGCAGGCACGCGATGGGGTTCCGCTGGGGTGGAACAGCGCATCTTGATCGAGCTTGATCTCGTGCGAGCTGTGCTCATAGCAGAAGATGTCTCCGCAGCGCCGGCAGTGATGCCGTCTGCAGAACATGGAGAAAACTCTGCCGCAGCCGAAGGCGTTGCATGCTTGCGTGTCGTCGTTCGACTATTGTTGCTGTTAGTGAATGAACCCAAAAGAGGTACATGTTTCGCCCGCGGGAAGTGTAATGTGCAGACTGCATGAAATGCAGTGTTTGAGACTTGCATATGCGTGCTGCTAGCGGAAAGCGGGCAAAGCCGATACCGCGAACAAGCTCGCAAGGCGATGGCGCCATGCGAAGGGCAAACCACGCACAAGAATGACGCAGCCATCAAGGTATGTGCCGTGGCCGACTGATAAACAACTCATGCCCTCTCCTTTCCACGCGCATCTGGATCACTTGCGGCTCCAGACGGCTGCAGCGGCAAAGGGATGATAGCAGGGGTAAGAGGCATCGAGACCCCAGCGCACTAACGGGCAGAACTAAAAATTAACGTACCTTCCAGTGGTTCCTCGACGGGGGTCCAGTCACCGGTCCTATGGTGCTCCCCTCAACACTTGCGATCCTCTGAATCTCCGAATATGTTGAGCCGAAGCTGTCGGCGGTCCCCCTTCGGTCGAGGCCGGCCACCGGGCTCTCAACCGGGGAGATGTCGCTGCCTTTGGGAGGCGATGAGCGCTGCGGCCTTTCCGTCGGCCTCAGAGCGGCCGGGACGTACATGGGACACTTGGGCGGGCGAAGCTGACGCGTGTGCATGTTGTGCGGTATTTGCGTCGGAGAGACGTTGGTGGGCGTTGCAGCACCCGAGTGCGTGGGAGAGTAGGGGCTGTACTGCACGCCGCCGCGATACGGGTACTGCTGCTGTTGGAACGCGTTCGGCACGAAATTCGTCGCGGTAGGGATCCCGGTAGCCATCGTGGCGGTGTTGGATAAGATGTGGGGATGAGATGTGTCGGAGTGGGTGATGATGGTCGTGGAGGAGATCAAGACCAGGCAGGTGGGCCGTGAACTTGTAGGTGAGCGGTCGCGCGGTGGTCAGAGGCGGCGGTGGTGGTCGCGTGCGCGGTGTGTTGCGGCGCAGTGAGCGTGAATCGTGGATACTCAAGTAGGATGCGAGGCCAGAAAGCGGTCTGCAGACCCTTGGCTGGTGAGAGATAGCTGAGGCTTGTTTGCTGGGGGCGGGAGAGAGTTGGCTGATCGGCGCAGCACGCTGGAGCGGATGCGACGATAAGAGGGTAGCCGGCTGGCGATACGATGGAGGAGGCGGGCGATTGGACGGGGATGGGGCAGCAGGGAGCCTCGGGTGGTACAAGCAGGGTGGTGGGAGCAAAAGCAGCAGCGCTGTCGTCTATGGGGAGCAGGCAGAGCGGCACGGCATGGCGGCGATACTAATAAGAGGGACGAGGGTCGCAGAGTAGTGCCGTCGCGCCGTGAAGGGAGGCTGACGATGACCTCGAAGCCGTTGCCGTTAGCCACGGGCCATCCACGAAGCGTCGCCGACCAGCGGACCCGAGCGCGCACGGGCGCCGCAATCACTAAAGGCTGCGCTGGATTGGGCAAGCGTTTCCATCGCATATCTCTCCGCCCACCGCGCCGGATCTGCTTCCAGCAGCTGTCCCGGCCACAACACCCGGCCGCAGGGCAGGGCGGGTGCGTGCGTAACTGCCGCTGGCCGGGCTCCCTCTACCACCATGTAGCGCGCGCCGCTGTCCGCGCCATCGCTGCCCGCCGCCCTCAGCGCCCCGCCGGCCAGAGGTGGCAAGCAGCGGCAGGTCGGCCTGGCCGCGACCCCAGCATCCCCCGGCCTCTTGGCTTGCGTCTGAGCCGCCGCGACACCCCTGCGTCGCTGTGGTTGGTGTTGCTTACTCGTTGATTCCACTCATTGCTCTTATCGGGCGCCGCCCGGCCAATCAGCGCCGCCGCTGCGCCCGGCCACTGCACGTGCGCGCTCGCCTACGGCCTGCCACACTGCGCGGCGGCAGCGGCAGCCCGGGGCGGCAAACATGCCAAGCCTCCCTCCTGCGCTCCTGCAAACATGCCCGTGTCGTGCCCGTGTCGTGCCCGTGTCGTGTGCATGCTGACGCGCCTCGGCTTCCGTCGCGTCTCCCAACCGCAACCGCCGTCGCCTGGAGCGGGGAAGCCGTAGCGTACATAGCCAGCACAGCCGGCCGTGCGGCGAGCGCGTCAGAGTCCCCGTCTGCGTTGGTTTGTGTTCGCCTTGTCGTTGCTTGTCGTTGTCGTTTTCATCTGCAGTGGCAACCCCGTGCCAGCTCCTCCGCGTTTCCGCCTCTCATTCCGATTTCCCCCTGCCCCCAATGGCTCCCTCTGTAGAGACGGTCGCGGTCAAGGAGAGTCCATTGCCACTGCCTGCAGATGATCCTCTGTCGCCCGCGCAGTGGGCTACGCTCCTTGCCTTCGCCGATGCTGTCGTGCCGTCAATAGCGCCGTCCGTTTCTGCCAACTCGGCCACACAACTCGCAGTCGGTGCGAATGACTACGCGACCAGACTTGCCCGTGTGCAGCAGCTGGCCGGTCCAGATGTCGCCGCAGAGCAGTATCTTGCCGAGGCGCCGTCGGCGTGCCCGGCCTTTCGAGAGAGCATTCACCGCTTGATGGCCCAGTACATTCCGGCCGATGTCAGGAAGCAGTTTCTGGCGGTTTTCGATGTCCTGAAGTCAGTCCAGTGTGCTGCTGTGAGCTACACTGAACTAATTGAATTCCAGCACGCGGCCAGGTGCGCTCGTGATGACGGGCTACTCGACGCCCTTTGCGGAACAGCCCGTCAATACCCGCATAGCAATTCTCCAGAATTGGGGGACAGCAAGGACGCCGATGTTTCGCCAGTTGAACAAGATGCTCACTTCCTTGATCAAACAGAATTGGGCCAAGTCTAGTGTGGTTTTAGGGCCCGTCCTGGGCTTTCCTCGCGTCCCCGTTCACGCATCTGTCGGAAAAGGGTTCGAGTTTGACTTTATCCAGATGCCTCCGGGACATGGACCGGAGATCATTGAGACAGACATCGTCATCGTGGGCAGTGGATGCGGAGCGGGGGTATGCGCAAAGAACTTTGCAGAAGCCGGTCATAAAGTCGTTGTCGTGGAGAAGTCGTACTATTGGCCCCCTCAGCATCTTCCAATGACGGAAACGGACGGATATAATCACCTTTTCATGAACGGCGGGTTTGTCATATCCGACGAAACTTCGGTCAGCGTAGCTGCGGGTAGGTCTGCCGATTGTTTACCTGATCCAAGGCAAGAACTGACGCGGGCTAGGCCAAACATTCGGAGGAGGGGGCTTCGTAAACTGGTCAGCGTCGCTGCAGACCCAAGGGTTTGTCCGCCAAGAATGGGCGGATCAGGGTCTCCCATTCTTCACGTCAGCAGAGTTCCAGAAATCTCTAGATGCCGTTTGCCAAAGGATGGGTGTTGCCACTGACCCCATCAAGCACAATCCGAGCAATAGCCATCTTTTGGAAGGCGCACGGAAGCTTGGCTGGTCCCACAAGGTTGTTCCTCAGAACAGTGGAGGCACGCAACACTATTGCGGATATTGCAGCATGGGCTGTGCATCGTGTGAGAAACAAGGTCCACACGTTTCCTTTTTGCCAGATGCGGCACGCGCCGGTGCCGAGTTCGTCGAAGGCCTCGAGATCAGGAAGATCTTATTTGAGAACAAGAAAGGGAAAACGGTTGCGGTAGGCGTTTGTGGGACCTGGACATCCCGCGACGAGCATGGAGGGGTGGCTGGCGCATCGAAGACCCAGAGGAATGTGATCATCAGAGCAAAACGCGTGGTGGTCGCCGGCGGCACGCTGCAAAGCCCTCTCCTTCTCCTCCGTTCGGGTCTCAAGAATCCGAACATTGGACGGCACCTCCACCTGCATCCTGTGTCGTTTTTGGGTGCCGTGCACAAGGAGCGTACAAATCCATGGGAAGGCGGGATCCTGACTTCGGTTGTCAACGAGTTCGAAAACCTTGATGGAAAGGGCCATGGTGCTAAGCTTGAGGCCGTCACCATGCTTCCCTCCGTTTGGCTCACAATCGCGCCATGGATAGGGGGGCTCGAATACAAGGACCTTGTCCCTCGCATGAAACACATGGCGGGATACTTTGCCCTAGCGCGCGATCGCGACACTGGGCGTGTATACCCAGATCCCTTGGACGGACGTTGTCGCCTTTCGTATCAACTGTCCAGGTTCGACAAGAAGAGTATTCTGGAAGGCTTGATTGGACTTGCCAAACTCCAGTACGTCGCCGGTGCGAGCGAGATCTTCACAGCGATCCCTGGCTGCTCGGCCTTCAAACGAACGGAAGCGGAAACCGGGGCAGAGGACGCCGAGGGCATCAACAACGAAAGATTCCAGGCGTGGCTGAAGGAGATCAGAAGGGTTGGCTTGCCTCAGCCAGAGACGATGTTCATGAGCGCGCATCAGATGGGGACCTGCCGTATGGGAGCGTCGCCGAAGACAAGCGTTGTGGATGCTGAAGGCAAAGTCTGGGGGACCGAGGGGCTGTACGTCGCAGATGCCAGTGTCTTCCCAAGCGCTAGTGGTGTCAACCCGATGGTAACCGTGATGGGTGCGTGCTGTCTCGCAAATTTGCAGCGTGAACGTGTGCTAATGCAGTTGATTTCACAGGCATCGCAGATTGGCTCTCGCGAAACATGTCCGCACGTATGGCAAGGGAGAGAGAAGCTGCCAAGCTGTAGGCCGAGGGCAAGCGCGAAGCGAGGCGGGTCATGTTGTTGTGGTTGATTTAGATTGGCCTATTCGTGTGACCGCGACGAAGTGACAGGTCGAGGTGTCGCCTGATGCGACCAATGAGACGGGGGTGTGACCGTGGCGTCATAGTGGCGAGGGGCAACGAGCACAAAGCAACTACGAGGGCGCAGTCGCGGGGGAGCAATGAGCAAACGGAGCAGCGTCTCCGCTCTGGAGAGCAGCACTGGGAACGGTTCCTGCATCGGCTCGTGACTTTCGCGGGTGAGGCTGAATATTCACAGCGGCATTGCCTGTTTGGGCTTGGATGTGGAGAGGTTAGCGTCATGCGGGCGGGCTTGGTCTCGGGTGGCGAGACGTTGGAGCGACGGACGGCGGCAGCACGCAGCTGCGGGGCCGGCGAGGAGTCTGCCGGAGCTCGAGTGGATGCGCAGGGCAATATCCGCAGGTGCACCGCCCACAGTTTCCTCCCATGTGTTTCAGCGTGGTTGCATTTCAGGGTCTGTTCGCACGGCGGCAGCCGAAACAACGTCACTCGCTGCACACCCTCACCACCATGGCTGACGTGCATACACGCGGCGCTGTGCCTGGGCTGCCAGTCGCCGCCGTTCCGCGTCCTGCGAGCTGCCCACGTTGCCGGCCGGCTTCCAGCGGCGCGCGGATCCACCCTGGCTCAGCCCAATGAGCTTGAGGCTGGCGCGGCGTCGTCCAGCAACATGCCAGACGCCAGGGTCTCCGCATCTGCAGCACCGCCTCGCGCCTCCTGCGATCCCATGCGCGCTTTCCTCACAGCGCCTGCCGCATAAATCCATTGCCCGCCCGCCCGCTCTAAAGCCGTCTTTTCCATCGCATCCGCATCAGCAGTCACCCGGCCCACCTGCACCTCCCATGTGAACTGCTGCTCCCGGCCATCAGCAATCGTCAGATCTTCAGCGCGGGCCTGCGTCGACTTTTCATCCCCGCCGCCTCGCTTCACCGTCGCCGCAAGCAACCCGCCACTGCCTACGCTGAGGCCGAACACTCCGTCGCCCGCTCCATCGCTTCACCTCGCACAAATATGTCGCAATTCATATCCTTTCTGTCGCCAACCGCGTCGCTGGCCACCTCGTACGACAAGACCAAGCCGGCCGACGACCAGCCTGCCCGCGACATCCCCACAACTTTCACGGATGCCATGACCGTTCGCGAGCGCGTCTTCGTCGAGGAACAAGGCGTGCCTCTGGAGAACGAGTTCGATGATGACGATCCTCGCTGCTTCCACTGGGTCGTGTACGCATCGGTCGGAACGTCGAGCTGCGGCAGCAACGGCGGTTCGCCACTCTCCAGCGGCACGCCCGACAACTCCGAATCCCCACCCCCGCAGGATGAACGTCGCCAAAGCGACCCCACAGCCAACCGCGTCGCTGTCGGCACCATTCGCCTCGTCCCACCGCCGCACCCGCCGCACCCCGCACCCTCGGACACACACAAGCTAGATAATTCCCTACGTGCTCCGCCCACCGGGTCACAGGCTAAAGGCATCCCCGGCTCTGAGCCGTACATCAAGTTGGGTCGTCTTGCCGTTCTGCCAGCATACCGCAAACTGGGACTGGCTTCCCTGTTGACGCGCACCGCCTTGGATTGGGCTGCGCAGAACAGTTACCAGATTCTAAGCCCGCCACGTCCCGAGGAGGTGGAGCTGGCAAGAGTTGAGGGCCGCGACGATGATATCGACTCCTGGAGTGGTCTCACGCTGGTCCACGCACAGATCCAGCTTGAGAAATACTACAATAGATTCGGCTTCGTCAAGGACGAGGATATGGGGGAGTTCGACGAGGAAGGCATAGTGCACATTGGCATGTGGCTTACCCTGAAGCTACGGGAGTAAACTTTGTGGAGGAGAAAGATCCCGACAAAACACATTGGTGTGCGAGTTCCTTCCGGGAGGAGTTTAGCCCCGACGACTTCATTATGATGGTACGATTCAAGATATCCCCCTAGTCACTTTCGCTTTTGTTGCGCTTTATATACTTGCAGAGCATCACGATTGCGCTGCCGGGACACTTAATTAAAAACAAATATTAAGCTATCAATCCATCCCATAGACTGCTCTCAGGCTCATTCTTCTTTGAGTGAGCCTACCTGTGCTTTATGATTTCTTCGAGGACTCGTTCCAACCCCACACTTGATTGTCTTCAACTCATGCATGGCTCGCGCGAAGCTGGATGTCCCCACTGACTCGCAAGCCTTGAATCGGAGAAAACTCCGTGCCAGCCTGTACATCCCCCGCATTTCTCGATCGCCGATCAAACATTCGAAGTGTCTCATTTCAGACTGCGGAGGGCAGTGTTCGAAGTGCTGCCATTCGAAGGCTAGGTGAGGGGAATGCTCATCGTATTCGGGCATCGCTGCCGACGCACCGGGGCTAATCATAGGGCGCGTCGTGTGGGTTTTGCGGGGTGATCGAGATCGAAGACTTCAAGATGTGGGTCTTGCATTTCGCTGACTCTCCCTTGCTTGCGATGGCCTATCATCAGTATCGGTGGAGACCGGGAAGTACGGCTCGGGCCGTTGCGGCCATTTTCTTGCTTCACATGTCATTATCCACATCTCAACGTCGTTGCCTTGAATTGCCGCATCATCCACTGGCATGCGCGTACAGGTATGCCATCTCGGTAAGGTCATGTTGCAATATCCCAAAGCGTATGCGTGCATAGGCACCATGCAGTATGTATGCACAATGCGCGCATTCTAGTTATGAAAAAAAAAATATTGCGTTTCGTCCAGATTTTCAGGTTGCTTGATGTCGCACTGTCTTTGTTGTTGTTTGTTCGGCTCCAGTAAACCATTTACCAGGGTAATCGCATTACGCAAAGAAAGCCAATCCAGCCCTACCTCGAAGCGGGGTCATAGTGATTGTTGGCCGGTTATAGGTGTTGCTACATCTTACAGAAGTGAACCTTCCTGTTTCTGACACCTCGATTTTGCTCACGTTCTTAGAAATCGGTTGTCGAATTGTTTGATTGGAAGTTTGCGATATTCAATTGTGGAGTTTGCTCGTAGCATGTCTGTAAAAATCAATACCTATCCGGTGAGACGTCGCGGAGTATAGTCCCGAGTGTAGGGCCCTTGTCAGCCCTGTGAGCCAATGTGCGCTCGGACCAGCGTTTGGCGCAGAATCCTTGTTGACGATCTCAAGCCACTTGGTTCGGGTCGCGACTTCCTCTCTGGCTCCATGTTTGAAGCCAGCAAACTTACAGCCTCATTGCTCGTGTGGATGGCAGTTGTGTCTTTCAGGTGAGTTAACGAGAATGGAGCAGTGCGAGAACCGAGGGTTCGCGCACTGGTGGCTATCTGCGTTGACTTGAAGGTGATGCATCCGTTACGCACGGCGGCATTCGCAGAGTTGGCTCGGCGTGCTAGGAAACGCGACAGGCCACGCTGCCGGGCGCTGGACCTGGTAATCCGACCTGCGGCCCGCCACGTGACGTGTTGTTATGAAGTTCTTTCCCTCCATGCCCGCTTCTATTTCTACCCGACCGATCTTCGCCGACACTACCTCGACACCAACTCTCGCGTCGGCCTTTCCGCTCCTGCTGCACGCCGTGCCTGCATGAGTCTGACCACGCTCAGCTGGTGCCGTCCCATCGGTTCCATTCGCCGGTCGCCTCCTACCCATCCGCGCAAGATCTTCCGAAAAGATGGAGTACGACGCGGAGGACCATCATTGGCACCTCGTAAGTCACTTTATGCTCACTCTACCTGCCAAGAAATGTTCTATCTTGCGCGCCGCGACGCTGGGCGCTTGTCGTCAAAGTCTTCAAGATTTGTCTCGTCCCGATCGGCGAGCATCATGGCCTAGGATTTTCTCGCTGACCTGTCAACGCAGAAGCCGACCCCGACTCCGGCATCGTTCGAGGAGGCCTTGGGATTTGAGCAATCGGCTTTCGGTAGTCACGGCCGCCGCCTCGATGGCCCTTCGAAGGTCTGGATACCGGTCGCCGTCGTCTACACCTTCATCATAGGTTTGGGCTTGATGACGCTCTTTTTCCAGCGCCTCACTCATACTGCTCGCATTCGCGGTCACTGGCTGGGTAACTCGTCAGTGGTTGCATTGCATGCCTACCTCACCATGATCCTCATAGCCTATCCGATCAGGTTCTGGTATGTATGCGCGGCCGAATTCTGGGTCATGGCCCTCGTCTTCCCGGTCGGTCTCGGCCTCTATCAAAGTAAGCCGCGTTACTCCGTGGATACTGCTAGCCTGTACGGGACTCTGACTTTTAACAGTTTCGAATTCCCGCCTCATCTTCCACTACCAGACCCAGCAAGAACTTCTAGTCACGCCGAAGCGCAACAAGAAGATTAGGGCTCCTATCTGGTACCTGCACCCATGTGCGTTCCTGAGACACCACAAAAACATGGACTTTGTGACCAAAACGCGCGTTTTCGTTTTCGGCACCTGGGTTTTCACCGTCTTCGCTTGTACTTTCATGTACATTGGATCCATCAATTTCCACGAGGGTCATGGTTTCTTTGGAGAATGGTCGGGAAAAGCCAATTGCCACCGCGGGCCGCACGGCGAATGGTAGGTCTTCAATTTTGCGAATCTGCATGTGCTTCCACGGCCTGAATTGACAATTGACAGGGTACCGACGGCAATCTCACAACTCCTCATTTGCTGGGTTTGGGGTCCATACACGCTCTGGTACGCCAGAAATATTCGAGACTCCCACTACTGGTCTATGCAGACGAAGATAAACCTCATCGCCGGGTATGTTGTAAACTCAGAGTCAAGAAGCCCCGATTTTGCGACTGACTACTCAGGATGCCTGGTACTCCACTTTGGATGGCGTTCTTGTATTCGAACAACCCGACCGTCATCGCCATCAACCGGTGGTTTCCTCATTCCGGATGGTATGCTTCTAATAAGCTTTCCGGAAATGGCGCTGACCTTATTCAGGTTCATCCCTGGGATCATGACGATCCAGATAGGCTCCATAGTCTTTCCCCTCCTTGATATTTGCCGGACTCCGATTCCCATATACACGGCGGCTGCGGAGGGTGAGCATGAACTCAACAACTTCAACTCTTCTTCCAATGCTCTCAACCGGAAATTCAACAAAGCCTTGACTTCCATGGCGGCGTTCGAGAGCGCATTGGAGAAAAACGTTCAACCGCTGCTAGCTTGGGCGGCCAATCGTAACTTCACGGCAGCCGACATCAACTTTCTCGTCTTTGTACGAAACTGGAAGAACAACTGGGGTGGTCCGGGCAGACGCAACCGAGCGCTTACTCCGAGTCAGGCTTGTCGCCGTTTCGAGGATGCCGCGGTCATCTTCTTCACTTTCATCAACCCTACAACGTCCAAGGTAACGGTCAACATCGGTGACGCTACTTACAAGACTATTTCCAAGTACTTTGTTGATGTGTTGCCGCATAACCTCCCTGGAGATGATAACAGCCTCTTCTCTGTTCAACAGCAAGTGGCGCCTTGGGAGAAGGACGAACACACGTCGCAGAACCCGGGAGTGGACGGGTTTGACCGAGCCAGGCTGCAGTATATCGGCAGCGATGAGGATCACGACGATTACGATGCCATTCCGAAGGGTTTCAGTCTGTCCGTGTTCGATGACGCTTACAACGTCATCAAGGACGACATTTTCTACAACACCTGGCTTCGGTAAGTGCTTCTGCTCGCCAGTTGGATGTGAAAGCATGCAACTGATCAAAGATACAGCTATGTCAATGAGTTGGACCCGAACAGCGACGCGATGGGTTCGAGCAAGGACGACGGCTTGACGGCGAGCCCGTTGTCGGAGCTTCCGAAGGCGCACACGCGTGCAGCTCGTTCCCCTGCGATCTAACTTCGGAATCACTGGCGGTCTTGGCGTTGGATGCGCCAGAGATAAGCGTGGAGCCTCGTTACGCAGACGCAGAGCGGATTTGATTGGTCCACTGGCCCTTGACGTTGGCAGCTGTAGCCATGGGCGGCATTTTTTGATTTCTGCCTTCTTGTTGTCGATGAGATCTTCAGGCACAGCTTCTCCCTTGGCGATCTCATTGGCTGGGATTAATGGTTTTGATACGGGACATACAGGGGATGGCGGGAGGCTGTCCCGGGACCTTGATGAGCTGGACGTTTTCAGCAGGTAGGCGACGACAGGGCTTGAGCGTGACGCTAGTGCAGATAGCACGGAATGAAATGCCAGGTCGAGCAGCTGGTCAATGGCTCTGTGGTGATTCCGTTCTGTTGCGGCGAGCTGGATTCCAGGCCGGCGGGCGCCCCCTGCAGGGTGGAGACGCACCCCCACAAAAGCTCCATGCGCACGGCGATCATCAACACCGACAGTCGACGTCAGGACCCCGGTTCAGGGTGTTGCGGTGTTCTGGCAGGAGGGCTGGAGGAGGGTGGCTCCCAGCAGCAGCGACGGCTGCGGGAGGATTCAGGAGAGCGTGTGCGGCTTAGAAGCTTGGCATGCAGGTGGCGGCCGTGGGGCGAATTTTGCACTGCTGCTGTGCTGCAGGCTCCCGACTCCCGACTCCCGACTCCCGCCTCCCGCCTCGCACTCGCGACAGAATGGCACAATCGCTCGCGCAGATGGCGTGCCGGGTGACGAGCGGTTTGCGCTGGATTGTGAGACAGGCCGCGCAAGGTATAAATGCAGGCGCATCGGGCGATGTGGCATGTCCGCGTCTGCCTTCTGTCTCGCTGCGCCCCCGACCGCCCCGTCCGCAGGCCCTAGGCGCGCCCGGCCGTGGGCTGTGGTCCGAATAGGGATGCGCTCACGTGCGCGCTCCCCGGCCGCGCTCCCCGGCCGCAGCCAGCGCGGCCACCGCTCGCAAGGATCTCCGAGATTGCGGCACTCTGCATGCGCCGCCGGCCGCGTCGTTGTTGGCCGCCCGGCGTTGCACACACACGCAGCGCGGGCTGCCTGGGGCGAGCAGCCGCCCGTCATTGGCAATTCTGCCATTTTGTCAGGAGCTGACGTGCTCGTCGCTACCTCACTCTGACACAGGAGCCGCTAGGCCCGTCCAGGGTCTGTTAGGATCGCGTCGAGGAGCCGCGTCCATCACGCAATTTCTGGCGCTCGAACCTCACCGCCCTCCGCCCTAGCGCCCCCGTATAAAAATGTCCACCACCGCCCGCCCTGCCCGCCTTCACCCCGCTCCAGCCCAGTCAGAGTTTCCGTTTCCGCTCCAATCCGCCGCCGATCTCTGCACGCCGCTCAGCCTTTCATCGGACCCTCTGCTCGGCTGCCGCGTGACTTGCCTGCAGGAAAAAAAAGGACGGCCCATCCGCCCTGCTGACGTGTCCGCAGCTGCCACTGCCGGACTCTGGGCTGTATATAGGACCCGCGAGCCTCCTGTTCTTTGTTTCCACACGCTTCCCCTCTTCCATCCGCCATGGCCCCTCACGCTTCCTTCCCGGACACGCCCCCCAATGGCCCGCAGGAGACGGCCTACCTTCCTCCCGCCGGCGACCAGTTCCCGGTGAAGCCGAACATCCTGTACATCATGGCCGACCAGATGTCGGCCCCGCTGCTGAAGATGCACGACCCCAATTCGCCCATCAAGACGCCTCACCTGGACAAGCTGGCCGAGACGGGCGTTGTGTTCGACAACGCCTACTGCAACGCTCCTCTTTGTGCCCCCTCCCGCTTTGTCATGGTCACCGGCCAGCTCCCGCACAAGATCCGGTCCTACGACAACGCCTCTCACCTGAATGCGGACGTGCCCACTTACGCGCACTACCTGCGCCGCGAGGGCTACGAGACGACGCTGGCCGGCAAGATGCACTTCATCGGCCCCGATCAGCTGCACGGGTTCGAGAACCGTCTGACGTCGGACATCTACCCCGGCGATTTCGGCTGGTCTGTGAACTGGGACAAGCCCGAAGAGCGCCAGGAGTGGTTCCACAACATGTCCTCGGTCCTGCAGGCTGGGCCGTGCGTGCGCTCCAACCAGCTCGACTACGACGAGGAGGTCATGTACAAGTCGACGCAGTATCTCTACGATCACGTGCGCAAGGGCGATAAGGAGCGGCCCTTCTGCTTGACCGTATCTCTGACTCACCCGCACGACCCGTACGCCATCACCGAGGACTACTGGGACAGATACGAGGACGTTGACATCCCGCTTCCCGAGGTCCGCATCAAGCAGGAGGACCAAGACCCCCACTCGCAGCGCTTGATGAAGTGCATCGACCTGTGGGACAACCCGGTCCCCGACGAGGCAATCCGCCGGGCCCGCCGTGCGTACTACGGATCCTGCAGCTACGTCGACGACCAGGTCGGCAAGCTGATGAATGTGCTCAAGAACTGCAAGCTCGACAGGAACACGATCGTGGTGTTCAGCGGCGACCACGGCGACATGCTGGGCGAGCGCGGACTCTGGTACAAGATGTCTTGGCACGAGGGTAGCGCGCGGGTGCCGCTTATCATCAACTACCCGCCACGTTTCACGCCTCGCCACGTCAAGGAGTCGGTTTCGACCATGGATCTGCTGCCCACGTTGGTCGATTTGGCAGGAGGACGCATGGACTCCAGCCTCAGGATTGACGGCGAGAGCCTGTACCCGGCGCTCTGCGGACACCGCACCAGGGACGAGGTCATTGGCGAGTACATGGGCGAAGGCACAATCAGCCCGGTCATGATGATTCGCCGGGGCAAGTGGAAGTACACGTGCAGCCTGGTCGATCCTCCGCAGCTTTTCGATCGGGAGCAGGACCCTCAGGAGCTTCACAACGTTGCCGACTCGGAGGAGGCGGAGTACAAGGAGGCTGCAGCCGCCTTCGCCAAAGAGGCGAGCCACAGGTGGGATCTGCAGAAGATCCATGACGACGTGCTCCAATCGCAGCGCATGCGCAGGCTGTGCTGGAACGCGCTGAAGAAGGGACGCTTCGAGTCATGGGACTACCAGCCACAGGACCTCGCGTCGCAGAAGTACATCCGATCGACAATTCCCTTGGACGATCTCGAGCTCCGAGCCCGCTACCCGCCGGTCGACGCTTACGGCAAGCCTTACATGACGCAGCACCCTCACGGACAGGCGGCGGCCAAAGGCCAGTAGGCTCCCACTCAAGCTTATCAAGGTGGGAAGCCGTGCGGCCCTGGGGCTGGGCCCGGCAATTCCTGCTACAGCAAACGAAAGGTCTATTCCGCCCGCTCGCAAGCGTGCCAGGCCGAAGATTGGCTCGTTATGATACCATACCACTGGAGCAAGATTTCGCACCTGGCTCATTCGTTCTACTGCTTGCTCGAGCTTTTAGCGAGGCGTTGGTGATGTATTTCCGATAAGGTGCTTGCTCTTTTCCACTGCTGGCGCGCTTCTGGACATTTGAGGGACGATTCCACAGCGGTGCATTGAGGAGCCTCACGTAGCATGTTTCGATTTGTCGTCTTTTCCTTGGTCCTTTCTTCTTCGCTTCTAAAATGACGTGCATGATGGCCGCGAATTTCCACGTAGCATATTTACTGGCTAAACGAACAAGGAATGATTTTTCAAGCAAGAGTGCATGTTGTGTAGTGAACTAGTGACAGAGATAAGCGCTTGGATGTTCTCGAGCAAGGGGGTGGCGAGTCAGGATCAGATAGTCGAAACGATCATGGACTCGTTCTCCTGAAAGAGAATGATGGATGTGCAACCTTGTTGCATGAGCACTGCTGAGACGTGCGTCGCATACAGAAGGTGGTGCCAAGAGGGCCGGAAAGCATTGCGTCGCCGCGTACGTAATGGATGCCAGGAGATGGAATCTCTAGACGCGAGCAGGAGATTAACGGCTAGGGGCGGGTCTGCACGAGTGGGAGGGGATAGGTGAGAAGTGCGGCTTAGGGATAAGTGGCAAACGGCCATGATGGAGGCATAGCAGGGCCAACTTTGGCACCCGCGGTCCAGACCTTGGCAGAGCACAACCGATTATTGATGGAGAAGTTGGGGAGTAGAAAACACGACTCTCGCCGCGAGCATCGCCGCCACGGTGACTGCGCCATGCGTCTGGTTAGATGGAGGAGAAAGAAGTTAGAGACGAGCCTTGCCTTGCAGCCGTAGCGGAGTAGGTTCCGGCACATTTCCCCTCCTTTCTGCTCCCAACGACGAAGGCCCACGTCATCAATTGAGAGTTATCGTGCCTGTCCCCAGGCCTGGTGCCATCGACTCCAGCGGTTATCGCACGTCTGCACATGGCGGACGGAGCCATGGCGTCCTGGCGAGGCGCATCTTGCATGACACGCACGCACGCAGGCAAGCAGGCAAGCAGGCAAGCATGCAGTGGAGCTGAGAGCAGCCCGGGCTGACGAGCGACCAGCCAGCGCGTCGAGGAGCACTGCGCCAGGCCAAAAACGGGAATCTTTAACCGCCCAATCACGCCTGTCAGCGGCCGCCACGTATCACGCCATTCCTCGTGACCATGGCGTCCGTGTGCGCCGGCCAATGTGCGTGGGTTTTTCTGCCGGTGCGTGCTTGCCAGCCCCGTTCGACGCTAGCAAACTTACCCCGGACTTTGTTCTTGCCTAACGCATGGATCGCTCCCAGCCCGAACATGGTCCACCGCGTCACCGGCCACCGCGTCACACTCGTCCGCGACACGGTAGGTGGTCGAGAAGCTGGCAGGAACCGGGAACTCGACATCAAATCTGCCGGAGCCGCGGGCCTTCCATCCCCCTCCGGTCCGATTTGCTCGCGCCCGGAAGCATCATGATTATTGCTGATGCCGCACGGGTCGCGCGTCTCACAGTAACGAAGTAAAAGAAAGAGCCGCTCTTTATCCTGCAGCCCGCCCTGCGGTGTGATTGCACACATGGCGGCTCCTCATCACACATCCGCCGCCAGCACCCTCCGTGCCTCTTTCTCTCTGTCTTTTCTTTCCTTTTTTTTTTTTCCCCCCCCTCTTCGGCGCCGTCGTCCACTCATCACGCGAGCCCGTCCCCCCCTTTCGCGACGAACACATCGGCGATGTTGCAGCAGCGCATAGTCCCGATGTGCGGTGAGAAGGGCCTGGCAATGACTAACACGGGGGGGCAGCCTTGTCCGCTCCACGCCCTCCCTCCTGACTGTCATTACTGCTTGCTGATGGAAGCATGACTCCGACTGATCCTCCGTGCTTTTTTGTCTAGCCCAGCCGCATTACAAACCCGCGTTCGAGACGTCAAGTGCTTATGGGACTCGCCTTTTTTTTTTTTTCTCCGGGACCGACCGTCGACCGAAAAGATCGGGAGTCTCGGATGGGTGCGGTATTCTGGCTCGTGACGCAATCGCCCTCGTGGCGCAATCTGGCCGTCGCATGGCCGGCGCCGCAGCCTTTATTTGATTATGAAACACACGCGGCGGGTGGATTATTTTTTCTTTTTTTTTTCCTTCTTCCTTCTCCTCGGCCACGGATCAGACCTGGCCGCTGGGGTGTGGCTGCTGGCGGCCTATACAAGATCTGTAACGACGTATGTTTGAGAAAAAAAAAGTATGGATGAACAGAATGAGGCTTTTGCTACCACCAGCCACTTTTTGCCCGTTCCCTGTTTTTTTTGTTCCCACCCCCCGCCTCTTTAGAAATGCGGGCAGTGCAGTTGTCAGCAGTGCGCCGTGGGGTGGTTAAGCTACCTATGTAGGTGGTGTGCGGGCGACTTCTCCCGGGATGCGGGGAAGCGGATCGCGGGGAAGAAACTCAAGTAGCGTTGTGGCTAACCATTCTTCGCTACCTACGCATGCTAGCAGGGCCGTCGGTCGGATGCACCTCAACAAATTGGCTTTTCCTGCCCCGCGTTAGTAGGTGTAGCGCTTTCTGGATTTACATGCTAGGCTAACGGCGTGTTAAATGTGCGGCGGCTCATCAAGGGAAAAAAAAATGTAGAGCACTAATGGTGGGCTGCAACAGACTTGATTCATCCATCCGTGCGCCATGCAGGGCGCTACACATTACTACGTGGGCACTTGAAGCAAGTGTCCGGATGTAACTAGACTCCACTGCCAGCTCAAGTCAGGCTGTGATGCAAGTAGATGCCATAATTCCGTTGTAAGTCGTTGTAATGTCGTAGGAGCGAGGTGCGATGATAATTTGGCAATAAATAACAACCGCGTTATGCATGACGAAAGACATGGGTAGTGGCTGCGTTTATACAGTCTCAATGCTCGCATATACATCTGGCTATCTGCACTTCCGCTGCTTTTGAAGAAAGGCCGATTAACTCATGATAAAACAGTTTGTTTAAGCCTACATATGTTGGCATGCTTGCTTGCTTCAAGTGCCCATACAAAGACTTCTTTCGTAACCTCCAACGAATCACATCCCATCCGATGATAGTAGCAGAAAACAGGTTTTTTATAGTGATGCAATAGGGGTATCGATTTCATAAACACGTTAGCAGCAGTCTGGCTAGGTCCTCATACCTCACCCGCCAATCCTCAACGTCCACCTCGACTAAAACATCAAGCTACCCAGCATCGCGCCTCCCAAAAAGCCGCCCATCAACGGGAACCCATAGCCGCCACCATATCCATAGCCATAGGGCCTCGAGTACGGCGTCTGCGGGCGCAGGTACCGGGCGCCGGGGTTGGCAAACGGGCCATTGTTGTACGGGTTGTATCCATAGGCGCCGGAAGGGAAGGGCTGGCGCAGCTGCGAGATGCCGGGCGGCGGCACGATGTAGACGTCCTTGCCGTCGCGGTCCTTGCACAGGAACTGCGGCTCGCCCGTCTCGATGGCGCGCGAGAGGGCGCGGCGGGCGGCCAGGTGCGCGGCGTAGGCCTGGCGCTCGCGCTCGGCGCGCTTCTCGCGCTCGGCCACGCGCTGCTGGTGGTCGGTGTGCGTGACGCGGTCCTTGATGCGCCGGCCGAGCTTGTGCAGCCCGTGGACCTCGCCGGCGTCGTTGCTGCCCGATGACTTTCCCGCCGCCGCCGCCGCTTTCTTGTTTTGCTTGTTGTGGTCGTTGTCGTCGTCGCTGCCGCTGCTCTCGGCGGCGATGTCTTGGAGGCTGATGCTGTGGTGCAAGCGGGTGACGTTCTCGCGCTCGTCGGGCGCGAGGGTGGAGAGGTATTGCTCGTCGTCGAAAGGGTGGTGCCAGATGGAGCGCGGCGGGTCGGCGTGCGTGTCGACGAAGAACTGGTGCTCGTTCTGGGAGTCGTACTGTCGGACCCAGCCGGCGGGAAGAGGACGGGCCTCGTCTTCCATGCTGCGGCGGCGTTCTGCTGGAATGCCATTGCGGGCGCGGTGCTGTGCGGCGGATGCGCCGGTGGAGCTTGTTGCCGCCTCGTAGGATGGTGGTGCGTCTGACATGTTTTTGGTAATGTGTGTTCGGTGGAGACAGGAAGAGTTTGATGATGCGGAGGTGGTAAGCGGTTTATGTAGGTAGGTGGCGTGTTGTGTTTGCGATGCTGGGTAGGTAGTGATGGGTAGTGATGTCACCCGCGCGGAGACCCTGCTCGCGCCACACCTATGCACCGCCACTTTGACTCTTCTGGAAAGCTCTCGTCGCATGTGATTGCCGTTTGCGGTCGCTGCGCCACAACATGTTGCACAAACGTCTGGACCGGATTCATCATCACCGGCCGTGCCGGGGTCTCTGGCCAAGGAAGCCGTTGTTCAAAGTCATGATGTCGCGGAACCTGCGCCGCTCGTCCTCCTTCTTTTTCTCTTCGATGGCTCTTGTGAGAGCGCCAGAGTCCCACCACACCTTCCCTTCGTAGATGTGCAGGCCTTGGTAGCCTCTCTTTGCGGGACGCGGTGCTGCGTCGACATGGTCCTCGTGTACATCTCGGGCCTCTGCTTCCGCGTCGAGCTCAACGCCCTCGTCTGGCTCTGTGTCGGCCGCGGCAGGTGCGGGCGCTTCGACGGGGCCAACGATGAATTCGAACATGCGCGGAACCTCAACGATCCTTTCTTCCTCCCAACCCTTCAGCCTGCAGAGCATGATTGCCTGCACGCTGACGACGTGCCTCTCGCCGTTTTTGAGAGAGCGCACATCTGGGCCGAGGACCCGAGTCAAACATGTTTGGTGGTGCATGAACTCGAAGTCTCCGAAGCGTGACTTGATGCCGGTCCAGATGGCGGCGGACGATCGGTAGACGCTGTTTGTGGAGTCGAAGAAGGCGGCATTGTCGGCGAAGAAGATGGTTGGGTCGTGGGCTTCAAAGTCGAGGCTGTCCAGCGCGGCCAAGTAGCCGTGGGCAATGCGCAGTGCAGGAATATCGGCATAGGAGGTCAGGGACCCCATATGGGTGTACATGGAGGGGCATTGGGTCTGAGCCATATTGCAGTGGAAAGGTAGGCCGGTGAGATGCAGAGCTGGGAGAAGCGGCACGCCTTCCTTTAAATGGCACAGCACGATTGTGAGGTATGATTCAACATGGTCGCCTACGGCATCCAGTCAGCCGCGTCGCACGCCATATCAGGCTATTCCGTTTGGCAGCGGGGAGGAAAGTGGGGCGTCTGGGGGCCAAAGGTCAAAGCTAAAATCTGACCTCAGGCGCCGGATCTCAGCGCGGCACTCTGTTGGCCAGGGCCCTGCGTCGCCATGCCGACACGTGCGTCGTTGAGATGCAGCCGAGGTGCAGCGACGATGCGGTTGCGGAGGAGCAGACGGCACCCACCTGGGCCGGCGCAAGGGAAAGCGGGGGCCGAGAGGGGCCGCTTGGTGGCTTCCACTTTGACGCTGGTGCCAGCATCACGCACAAGTCCCACTCTTCTCTCACAACGCCTGACCTTCCCATCAATCGCTCTCGCTCTCGCCCTCCCTGATCTCGTCCCAGCCTCGCCCAAGCCGCGCCCTGTGACGTCGCCAATGCCAATGGCTGACATGAGCAGCACTCGGCGCAGCTCCGACACCGTGGCTCCGGGTGACGATCTTGACCCCAGTGCCGGGTTCCTTCCACGATGATCTTCTCTCATTGCCATCGTCAGTCGTAAGCGTGACGCTGCCACTTTTTTCCTATAGGAGAACTGCAAGCCCTGCCGTTGACTCGCGCCCTCAGCCCTCCGTTTGCCCGCCAGCTGGACCGACACCCATCTCCACAATCTTCATGAATCCTGTACACAGTACCTTCCACTATCAGCGATCCCCCGCCCCTTGACGCTGAATCGACCGGGGGTTTCTCCGTCCAATCTTCCGTCCAGACGTGATACAAACGCTACATCTACTGGACTTGTCACGCTCAACGCCGCCGCTACCGCACGCCACAATCCGATTTTACCCCGTGCTAGTTTTAGTGCAGGGCGCCGAAAAACGTCCAGATCGGCCAGCGCGGGAAGCGGTCCGGTCCGGGGCGTCCGGTCATGTAACGGTCAAGGCACTGTGAATGGAAAGGCCATGCTCTTGACTTGATCCTCTCCCCTCAATCTCAATTTGATACACTGTCCAGATCCCACTCCTCTCGTACGAATCTCGGCACAGTCTGGACCACATGGCGACCCCCCATATCCGCATTCAAACATCCAAACCCCTTCCTGATCAAACCCTCACTTCCCCACCAGCAGCACCAACATCCGCCACCCCCTGCTCCTTCTCCTTCTCCTTCTCCTTCTCCTTCTCCTTCTCCTTATCCCCCTCCCCCTCCTTATCAACCTTCTGCGTAGCTACCCCCACCCTGACGATATGCGACTGCATCAGCCGGTCCCAGTCGTGCACCATGAGCGAGTTCTCGAGACTGCTCAGCACCGCTTCATTGCCACGGCCCACCATCTCCGCCTCATACCGTTCGACGGCTGCCCTCAGAGCTGCTGCCGAGCGCTCTGGCATCGCCTCGACTTGCTTGACGAATTGGTCGCAGTCGAGGATGGCGTTGTTGAGGCCTTGGCCGCGGTCTAAATATTTTGTTTACTCCCACCTTAGTCTGGAGCACACAAAAAAAAAGAGAGAGAGACGAGTTGGAACCCGTCACAAAAGGAAAAGAAGGGAAGCAAAAAAAAAAAAAAAAACACAGTTTCCCACTTACGAGGCGTCATCGGATGCGCCGCGTCGCCCGCGAGCGTCACCTTCCCCCTGGCCGGATGGCCGTCCCAGCCCTGCGTCGGCCAGTACGGCAGGTAGTTCGCCCAGGCCTTGCGCCCCTCGTCGATGGCGGCGGCGACGCTGCAGAAGGGCTCGGCGAAGGCCTGCGCGCGGCGCTTGATGTCGCGGATGATGCTCCCGCTGTCCGGCAGCTCGATCGGCCCCTGATCCTGCCGCCAGCTGCACAGGAAGATGTACTCGACCTCGGCGAGGTCGTCGCCTTTGCCGTAGGCGTCGTGCACTATGGATGTTTTCGACCTACACATCAGCCTGACGTTGCCTCCGAAGACGTGGGCTTTTTCCACGGAGAGAAAAGAAAAAAAGGTTCTTCAAGGGGAATGTGATGAGAAGAAGAAGGAGGAGGAGGAGGAGGAAAGAAAGAAGAGGTAAGGAAAAAAAAAAAAAGAGTCCCCTAATCATCACTCACCGCCCATCCACATCATGGTCCCGCTCGGATGGAACAAGCTGCAGACGCGATGGTGCTGCTCCCGCAGCGCCCGCGCCCGCTCGACCGGCAGCTTGCTCAGCACGACGGCCATGACGATGGGCGACCGCAGCACCTTGCCCCTGTCGCCGCCCAGCAGGTACTCCCGCACCGGCGAGTGCGCGCCCTCGGCCCCGACGAGGACCGTCGCCGTGTGCTGCGTGCCGTCTGCGAAGGTCGCCGTCACGCCGCCGCCGCCCGGTTCGGACGACGACGTTGTTGCGTCGATCCCGACGAGACGCTTGCCGTACTGTTGGGCTTCGAGTTAGAGTCGCGTGCACGGGGGGTTGAGTTGGCGTTGGGGAGTGTATGTGTGCGTGTGGTGGAGTAGTAAGTAGAAGGTGTAGCAAATAGTCGGGACATGGAGAGATGTCGAACGCATCGATGAGCGATGCGCGTTGAAGCAAAGCTTCACAAGTAACGAAGGCAACACATGAGGAATATAGTGAAAGAGAGAGAAATAGAGAGGATGAGAGAGAGAAGCCTACACGAATATCGATCCCGGCGCCCATAACCCTGGCAAACTCCCTCCTCCGCAACCGCAGGTAGTACGGCGTCGGGACCCTGTGCAGCACCTGGCCCGTCTCGGCGTTGAACATGGGGAAGAAGGCGTCCGCCGACGGCGTCACGTCGTCGACCTGGGCGGTGAGGATGCGGTCGCGCACGTCGGCGGGCAGGCACGCGTCCAGCGGCGTCTGCGCCCAGTAGATGCCAAAGTCCCAGTCGCGCGCCCGTTGGTCCAGGCTCTCGTCCTGCTCGAAGACGGTGCAGGGGATGCCGGTCTGTATGTACATGTTTCGGATCATCAGCGGAACCAATTGGGAGAAAAAAAAGAGGTTGATATTTTATTCCCCTTTTCTTATATAGTGCTTTCGGATGAATGCGCCAGTGCACACTTACCTTTCGCAAACCCTGAGCTATCAGCCGTCCGCCGGAGCCTGGATGAAGTGTGAATCAGTCGCGGAAACGGGAGCGGGGAGTGGTGGAGCGGCCCATACCAGCTCCAATCACCATGACGGAGATGTCCTCGTTCGCGCTCCCCATGGTCGTTAATGATGATGCGATAGCAGCTCTGTAAGCGTGGATTATGTGAACAGTGCCGTGCAACACGCGAAGCCTTCAAAGTAGCGAAAGGGATAATCCAAGACAGCGGCGCTGATTTCCAAGCTGTTGAGCCGAGGGTGCAGCCTCTATTTAGCAGCTGCCGGACGCGTGAGATTTGTGCTTCTCATCCCCGGCCGTAAGGTTTCACTGTGCCCATCGCGGGGTCGCGCTGCATACGAACAGGGTAGTGTTGCCGCCTTCTCCACTTGACACGTCGTGGGGGCGAAGATTACGGCCTTCGCGTAAGATTCTGCCATCCGTCCAGGGCGGGTAAATGTATCTATAATATCCCTTGTGGGTTTCGCGAAGAAAAAAAAAAGAAAAAAGCAAGGAAACCACACGGTCGCCCAGGCGCTAAGTAACGTCTCACAGCCCAGCCCAAATCTCTCGTGAGCCCCCTCTTCAGTTCAAGACCGATTGGCTGTGTGAGCTAAAGAAGCTGCAAGCTGCTGAATTGTCCGGGTCTCCTTGCACCTCGATGGATTTGTCGTTTATTTGCAGGACGCTAAACCCAATGCTCTGTCCGTCTGCAGCGCTGCCGTTCCCGCCACTCGAGTAGGATGGCCAAAACGGCGCACGAGGATCCCGTAAGGGATTGGGATCATGTGTGGTCGCAAAGCTGATCCAATACGCTGACATGATGTCGGCAAGCGTCGCGTTGTTCGCATCCGGAAAGTTGATCGATTTCGACGTCAGGAACGGCGTCGTGGCGGCGTGCAGTTGAGAGCCGGCTGCGAAGATGAGCTTGAAGACGGCCGAGGTGTTGAACGCCCGGTCGGTGAATGCAGTCGCCACGTAGTAGGTTGGACAGTTGATCATGACATCTCCGAACCACGTCTGCCGCTGGAAGAAGGTTGAGTTGTATGCACTCTGTGGGTAGAGCTGATTGAGGCGGCTGAAGAACGACGGACCGGCCGATGGGAATTCGTACATGGCGTCCATGATTGTTTCGTCCAGGGTGGCAGACGGGAGCGAAAATATGTATCCTTCGTATGCATCGTGATCGAGAAGGATGGGTACTTTGTGGAAATTTCCTTGCTTGAACTCATCACTCGGAAGCTGACGGATGAATTTGCCGTCGACAACAGGACCCCAGTAACCAGAGCCAGCCCCATACTGCGGCCCCGGATAAGTCGTGTTTAGCACCCGCTGGTTGGCGAATTGCAGGTCCGACGACTCAAGTGCCCGCAGACACGCCAGATCCGAACAGTTGCTGAGCTGAAGGGCGGTACGGAATTGGCGCTCTTGAGTGCTCCCGGTCAACATGGGTATCCACCACGGATACTCGGGGATAGCAGCGGAGAAGGGGGGTTGGTCGAAAGCGCCGCCTGCGGTCAGCTGGAGGGTGACACTGCCGCCTCCTGCAGACCCACCCCAGATTGTGACGCGGTTGGGATCACCGCCAAACGCTTTGATGTTGCGCTGCAGCCAGTCGAGGGCAGCTCTCTGATCAAGCAGACCGACGTTCAGATCGCCGCTCTCCTTGACCTCAGATCCAGCCAAAAAGCCGAATAGCCCGAGCCTGTACTGGACCTCGACGTAAATTAGGCTTCCTGTGGAGCGTTAGCACTGGCCATTGCCTTTTGATGGCAGCACAAACCATTGGACTTATGCACGATTGCATCACCCGGTGAGACGATCTCCGGAGAACCCACTGTATATCCTCCGCCATCTGCGTGATATGTTAGGTTTCAGCGCAGTGAGGTAGCCTTGAAGGCAGAGACGTACGAAGCATTACGAAGACGGGCAGTGAGTTGCTAGTAGGATTTTGCGGAGCCTTCACATTGAGCATCAAGCAGTCCTCTGACTGCGGAAGGTTCTGAAAATAGTATTCGGGTTCAAAGGAGCCGAAAGCGGGTGACTCTTCAACCAGCAGTGGTGTTGCTGATTGATAACACATGGGTGGAGGCGATGTTGCGTTGATGATTTGGCCGGTGAAGTTGTTCGAAGCTTCAATTGGCCTGGGGGCCCGCCAACGGAGATGGCCCAGAGGCGGCTGTGCATATGGGATGCCGTAGAAGTAGTTGATCTGGGCTGTCTCATTCGTGAAGCCTGTGTATGTAACGTAGCCTAGGTCGGCGGTTGGCGGGTCGGATGCGGATGCCCGTAAGGCGAGGGCGGCCAGGCAGAGGACTGAACCAGCGGTTGGTCTCATCATGGCGGGCAACTGAAGGGATGGTCTTTGAAGAGCATGAGGATGATGTTCATGCTAGGCAGAAGGCATTTATATGTGCTTTCAGCTGGACGAATAAGAAAGCGAGCGGGCGTGGGCTTCAGCTGGGGCACTGGCTAGTCTGGATGCTGTGTCACCCGCGGCGAGGGCTAAGGCAAGCCAAGAGACATACGGGTGCCGGCGTCGGCACAGGGCCAAGAGAGCGCAATGGTGACTAGCGGTGAATCATGGTGTGGCTTGAAAGGGTGGATGCTGTGTGTTGCTGCATGAGCAGCATATTCGCAGTGGATGATTCATGTTGATTGCAATGCCGTCAGCAATTCGCAATGGACCGGGTCGCAGTGAAGTGCTAGCCGGCAGCATGTTAGGCGAAGTGAAGTGGATGCGGGACAGGCCGCGGTGATGGGCGATGAGCCATCTGCAGCTCGAGCGCGAGGGGCGCCGTTGGGGCCGTGCAGGAGCTGACGTGATGGGTGTCGACAAAGCTGGGGTGGGCAGGCGCGATCGACGGTGGCGGGCCTGAGCTCAGCCGCCTCACCCCTCTTCACTCTGGCTAACTTCATTCTTCGACCTGTCGCCCATCCTGTCCTACGCGGCTGCTCAGCTCGTGCAAACGTCCCACGTCGCACAGCCGGCTTCACACAAAACATCTGACAAGCAAGCCACAACGTGTCTCTCGGTCCACAGCCTCCATATTACTGCCTATATATACTACCCCACGTCCTTTCTGGCGCCGTAGCGCTTGGATCAGTACAACTCGTCGTACGCATAGCAGAGCACGCCGCCTTGGACGTCCATCACGTCGCCCACTCGCACCCAACTCGAGTTCGTCAGCGCCCCAAAGTGCATCTGATAGTCCAGTGTGATGTTCTGATACGCAACATCGCCATAGAAGTCGAACGGGTAGGCAAATTGCGTGTCGGGTCCGGAGATGTCCTTGACACGCCTCTTGATGTCTGCGCATGCGAGCTCTGTCAGCCTGCGCACACTGCTTGCCACCATCGCTATACGACGACGTACCTTGGCTTTCCCACGTCGCCCAGACGCGGTCCATGTTCGCGTGGTGGAGGAAGAACAGAGGCTGCGAGCTGATCAGCATACGAATCGGTCGCCAGTACTCGAAGCGGCTGCTTACATCCGACGGGCTATTGTACAGATCACCAATGTCGCCCAAGTCGCCACCAACACCCAGGTGCCCACCTCCGTGGTAGGTCAGGCCGTCGATACTGACCCATCCCTGGACTGCAACGTCAAATTCCTGGAACGTCTTGCCCGCAAGGACCTTGTCCACCATCGTCATGTTGAGCTTTTGCGATGCGAACGAAGGGCTGAAGTCACGCTTGAGGCAACGAGGGTTGTACGCCGTCGAGTCTGCTTCCGTTAGCATTGACCTGCCACAACCGAAATCAGGTCAAGCGGCTACGCACTGTTGGGGCCCATGTTGACCGTGTAGTTGCGGAACGGCCCGTCGGTGACGCAACCTGCAAGCCACGTCAGTCTTCTGCTCAACCCACGTCGCCAGGGCTACGGGTTGCGAACGCACCGCCGCCGGTTTTGCCAGGGATGTGAAGTCGCACGCTCGTGTCGTTGCTGCTGTCGACGTAGTAGCCGTTTCCGCCAAAGCCGGTAACCGCGTCGAAGACCGGTGCCTTGGGAAAGTCCTCTTCCGTGGCATCCAGTGTCCAGTCTGCGGTTTATTGTCAGCTCTGACAGAACCCAGCCTGGTTTCTGTGACCAGGCAGTGGTGAGGAGGGACTAACCCCAATATCTTTTGCCAAGTTAGCCGAATCTCGCACCCGAGTCTCTTTTGGTCTTCACTTACGGCTGACCGCCTGTCCAACCACACTCATCGCGGAGAGCTGCTTCATAGGAAGCCACAAAGTACCGATGCCAGCTGTATGCCGTGGTAAGTATCTGGCCTCAGGAGCACCAAAAGAACAAGCTGCTGACGTACGGATGAAAGTGTCCCTGGCAGACAGTACAATTAGCGCCCAGCATCATGCCACTAGAAAGACATACATACGACGAAGTGAACATGGTCGGTTGAGTTGATGTGTGTTGCCACAAAGTCGTCGTACCGGGAACGTGCGCCAGAGAAGTACGACGACGTCCTCGGGCTCCTGGATTGGAGACACTTGACTGCGCCAACGTAGGCTTTCTTCTCATGGTCGGACAGTGTCCTCCTAAAAAGACAAACTGTTAGCTCTTCGCTAAGATGGTGTAGCCGGACCTGAGATCCGGGCCGGGTTCGGCAAACCGAGTGACGGCCACGCACCATTCCTTTCGGACCGGAGGCTTCGAGCACATCGCCGAAGCGAGAGACACTAGCGCCAGCACGGCGAGAAATCTCTTGGACAAGGCCATACCGAAGATGGAACAAGAAGCTGGAAAGTCTCCAAGAATTCAACAGGTCCTACCGGTTTAAACTTTGGAGCAGTGTCTGTGTTCTTATCAAGAGCCCAGCCCCGGGGACCGCGTAAGTTGGCCGGAGTAAGCGATGTCGGAAACAAGGCCACCGACGTCAAAACGGTGTGCGGGAACCCGAATGATTCGTGGAACGGCTTCCAGAAACTGGATGTTTGGCGGATTGCACCAAAAAGTAAAACTAGGGGATTCGTACGCGGAAGGTGGGGAACATTTGTGGACGGCAACAACCAGTACGAGCGCCGACTCAGGGCGAGTTTGTGCAAAGACCGGCTGGCGACCAGAAAGCCACAATAAGAAATCTGCACCGGTGGAGGCCTGGCGGATACAGAGAATCTTTTCCTGTAGATGGAGACGAGATGGAGCCCAGGCCGGCGGATCGGCCTTCCAACGTGCGAAACATTGCTACGCTTAGAAGCCCGACTGAGGCGCCAAAGAGATTTCACGCCCGAGCATTAGACCACTGGAAACTTGGATGTCAAAGGGTGGTTGGTGCATGTGGTTTTGATAGCGCGTTCTGGATGCATCCATTAGCGCAGGCGACTCGAAACGCGCGCCAATGGCCACGCGGCAATAGGGCGCTAGATAATCATCTGCATTAGGGGGACCCGGCCAGGGGTTCGGGATACTCCGGCGTCGAGGCAACAGCAGCGGCACTGATCACGGCGGTGGCTCCGCGTGGCCGTTTATTTGCCGTGGTGGCACGTTTCGAAACATGGGTGAGATTGAATGGGGGCAAAGCGTTTGAAACGCAGAGCCGCACAGTCTGCAAAAACACCGTCTCAAGAGCCGAGGCCCCTTTCTTCGTTGGTAGTCGGTCTATAGACGGTTCGCATCTTCGGCATGGGACTTCCTGAGACATTACGCCATGTCTTCAGCGCCGATCTTGCTGGTGACGTCGAGATGTGGAAGGAGGTATAGCTACAGGAGTGTCACGAAAGCCACCGAAGGCATCAGCAGGTCTCCTGCCCAACTGCTTGAAGTTGAGATGGTGTAAAAAAATAAAGATCGAGAAGAGCATCGCCGTTTTCCATTCGCAACACCGAGTACTTTCAAAGGATTTTTCAACCGGCTCAATGCTACTTACGCACAGAACGCGCCTGCCAAGACCGAGAACGCATCAGCGAGATTACGGAGTCAACGGTAGACCAGGTGGCGTGAGCGGAACAGCATCATGGCATCGGGGGATATGCGTATCCGAGCATGAGAGGCGGTTGAATGGCTGGTTGAGAGGACCTGTCGCTTCACACGGGAGGATCCGGTCGGCAATGGGTAAAGGCTCTTGGGCATCAATCAAGCATCTCCCGCCAGAAATCTTGGCGGTCAGGTGAAAGGACTCCAGTACGAGCACGCAGCAGCAGGGTGTCCTGACCAAGGCTGAACTGGGAATAAGACAGCTTGGCGGCGAGGGTTGGCAACGGCGTGGGAAGCCGCGCGAACGGAGAGGACGGAAAGCGTACGAGACTCAAGCCATTGGCGTCGGTGGAGGCTGGTGCCAAGAGCGCAAGGCTGTCAGCAGACGGGCAGCGCTGACACGGGAGGCGGAGCGCCGGAGAGGAATGGGGAGCAGTCGTGGCGATTGAGCGGAGATCAACACTCCGCCGCCGGCCGGGGTGCAACGCCATTGGCCCGGTGGATGGGAGCGGCAGGCGGAGGCGGCGGCTTTCGTCCAACAGGACAAAGCGGGAAGGGAGCTCTCGGCGGATGTTCGCCCGACGTGAGCGGCAAGCTCTGACCCGCTCATCGACGGACGCCCGACCCTCTACTTACCCCAGACTGACGCGCTCCCCCGGGCCGATTTCCCCATGGAGAGTGGGCGGCGCCCAGGCTGCTCACGCCCGCCACTGCTGCGGGGAAGCTGGGCGCCGTCGCCCATTCTGCCGTCCCTCCTAGGCCTGCCCCGGTTACATCGCCCGTCCTTGGCCAGACGCGCCCGCTCTTTTCGGGGAACGAGCGCGGCTCATGTTCGCAGCATGCATCGAATACCGCCGGCCGGAATGCCTATCATACCCACGCCTCTGGTCCTTAAAGGTCGCCCACTTCCCCATGTTTTGTTTTGGGCGAGAGTGCGCCCTGTCTAGCGTGCTCACTCCCCCGTCACCCCACCTCTTTCTCGCCCTACGTGGTACGCCGCCAGTGACGCTCCTATCCCGCCGCGAACCCACCACCCACGTCGTCCGTCATGGCGGCTCCCGCCCCCGAAATCACCATGTTGGACGAGAAGAGAGATGCCGAGCACATCGACCAGGAGGAGTTCGGCCAGCACATGCATATTCCGAAAAGAGAGGCGCCGCCGTTGGTGCGCGACCTGACGCCTGAGCAGAGAACCGAGATGGAGGCAAAGCTGCGCCGCAAGATCGACCTGCGTCTGATGCCAATGATCATCATCATGTACGGCCAGCCACGGGCAAAAATCCCTGCGAAGAACGGGGAGACTGACCGCAACCCAGGTACATCCTCAACTACATTGACCGCAACAACATTGCCGCCGCCCGCTTGTCCGGCATGGAAGAGGACCTGGGCCTGAGCGAAAGCCAATACTTGACCTCCGTCAGCATTCTGTTTGTCGGCTACCTCCTCATGCAGGTCCCTTCCAATCTTTACCTGAACAAGATTGGCCTGCCCGCCATCTACCTGCCCACGTGCATGATCATCTGGGGTGTCATCTCCACCGCCACCGCAGCTTGCCAAAGCTTTGGCGGCCTCGTCGCATGTCGATTCTTCCTCGGCTTCATCGAAGCCGCCTACTTCCCTGGCTGCCTTTTTTTCTTGTCGTCATGGTATACGCGTAAAGAACTTGGCCTGCGCACCGCCATCCTGTACTCCGGTGCCCTTATCTCGGGTGCTTTTTCTGGCCTGATCGCTGCCGGCATCAGAGGCAACATGGACGGCGATCGCGGGTTACGCGCGTGGAGGTGGTTGTTCATCATCGAAGGCGTCGTCACCATCTTCATCGCCTCCTTTGGCTTTTTTATCCTCCCTAACTTCCCGCGCACCACCAAGTGGCTCACCGAAGAGGAGCGTCAGCTGGCCGTATGGCGTCTGCAGGAAGATATCGGCATGGACGACTGGACCGGGGCCGAGGACCAGAGTTTATGGATCGGGTTCAAGCTGGCGTGCATGGACGTCAAGATGTGGGTCCTCATGGGCTTGCTCTTTGGCATTGTCAGCGCCGGCAGCGTCACCACCTTCTTCCCTTCCGTCGTCGAGACCATTGGCTACGGTCAGGTCGAGACGCTTCTCCTGACCGCACCGCCGTACATACTTGCCGTCATCACCACAGCCCTAAACGCATGGTAAGCCCCCCGCCCTCTCCGATCCCTTCGTCGCCATTGGCAAGACTTACCCATATCAAAAAAACTTGCAGGCACGCCGACAAGACCGGCGAACGCTATCTGCACGTCGTGCTACCCATCTGCCTGGGCATCGTGTCCTTCATCCTGGCCGCCGCCACGCACGCCACGGCGCCGCGCTACGTCGCCATGATGCTGATGGTGTCGGGCGTCTACACCGGCTACGTCGTCGTGCTGGCCTGGATCTCCAACACGATCCCGCGCCCGCCCGCCAAGCGCGCCGCCGCCCTCGCCTTCATCAATGCCGTGTCCAACAGCTCGTCCATCTGGACCTCGTACCTGTACATCAACCCGCCCGGTTATGGTGAGTCT